TCAGGAGTTCAAGACCAGCATAGCCAACATGGTGAAACCCTGTTTCTACTAAAAATACAAAAAAAAATTAGCTGAGTGTGGTGGCACATGCCTATAATCCCAGCTACTTGGGAGGCTGAGGCAGGAGAATCTCTTGAACCTGGGAGGTGGAGGCTGCAGTGAGCCAAGATTGCACCACTACACTCCAACCTGGGCAACAGTGTGAGACCCCATCTCAAAAGAAAAAAAAAAAGAAGAAAGAAGGAAAAGAAATTAGCTCACATGATTAAGAAGGCTGAGGTCACAAGATCTGCAGGATGAGTCAGCAGCTGGAGACCCAGGAGAGCTGACGGTGCAGTTCCAGGCTGGAGATCCAGGAAGAACCAGTATCACATTTCAAGTCTGAAGGCAGGAAAAGACTCTCATCACCACTCAAGATAGCCAGGAAGCATTTTTCCCTTACTTTTGTTCTACTCAGGCCTTCAACGGATTGAATGAGGCTCACCTCCACTGAGGGGGCAATCTGCTTCACTCAGTTCACTGATTCAAATGTTCATTTCATCCAAAACACCACAGAAACACCCAGAATAATACTGGACCAGTCAGGTTGACACATAAAATTAACATCACGTCTTCTCCACATTTTCTGTCCACTTGTTATTTTTTATTTTATTATATTTTATTTTTTTGAGATGGGGTTTTGCTCACATTGCCCAGACTGGAGTGCAATTGCACGATCTCAGCTCACAGCAACCTCCACCTCCAGGGTTCAAGCAATGCTCCTGCCTCAGCCTCCCGAGTAGCTAGGATTACAGGCATGCACCACCACACCTGGCTAATTTTTTTATTTTTAGTAGAGACGGGGTTTCTCCATGTTGGTCAGGCTGGTCTCGAACTCCTGAATTCAGGTGATCCACCTGCCTCGGCTTCCCAAAGTGCTGGGATTACAGGCGTGAGCCACAGTGCCTGGCCAACTTGTTCTATCACTTACTGAGAGGTTGTTGGTATTTCCACCTCTGCATGTGTATTGTCCAGTTCCGCAGTTCTGTTGGCCTTTGTCAGGCACTTTGGAGCTCTGTTCTTAGGCACCTGTGCATTTAGAACTGTAACATTCTCCTGATTGTTCCATCCTTTATCTTTAGGAAATGGCCCTCTTAGTCCCTGGTACTGCTCCTTGTTCTGAGGTCTGACCCTGTCTGATATGAAAATCACCACTCTGTTTTGGCAGTAATTTCTAATTCGGTTTTATTCCCTGTGCCTTTTTATTTATTTACTTATTTTTTAAATTTTCCTGGTTTCCTTGGTATCTTCTAAACCTGTGCCTTTTTTGTAGCATCCTGTGCTCTTTTATTTAATGGCTTGCCTGTTTGACTTTCCCTAAGGATACATATTTTCATTTTTTAAAAATCAGCTTTAGGCTGGGCATAGTGGCTCATGCCTGTAATCTCAGCACTTTGGAAGGCCAAGGTAGGTGGATCACTTGAGGTCAGGAGTTCAAGACCAGTCTGGCCAATGTGGCAAAACCTTGTCTCTACTAAAAATACAAAAATTAGCCAGGCATGGTGGTGCACGCCTGTAATCCCAGCTACTCGGAAGACTAGGGCAGGAGAATTGCTTGAACCTGGGAGGTGGAGGTTGCAGTGAGCCAAGATTGAGCCATTGCATTCCAGCCTGGGCAACAAGAGCGAAACGCTGTCTCAAAAAAAATAAATAAATAAAATACAATAAAAAATAAAATTAGTCTGCAGACCTGTAATCCCAGCTACTTGGAAGGCTGAGGCAGGAGGACTGCTTAAGCCCAGAAGTTCAAGGTTGCAGTGAGCTATATGAGTGGTGCGCCACTGCGCTCCAGCCTGGGTGACAGAGCAAGACAGTGTCTAAATTAAAAAAAAAAAAAAAAAAAAAAAAGTAAACCAATCTATGAGAATTTATTCAGAAGTGGAGAATGCTAAAAGGAAATAATAAGTCATACAAGTAGCAAGGGCTTTTATTAAAGGGTACTAAGTGAGGCCCCTCTTAAGACCTAGGCTCAGACATCATACATGGGAAGCAGCCAGCCTTGTGAGTGCTGCTGGTCACCGCCCTGCATGTGCAAAGGTCTTGGGGCAGGACGGAGGCTGGTGTGACCCCCTGAAGCCATTAACAGCCAGTGTGACTCTTAAAAGGAGAGGAAGGGGGCCCAGGATGTGCTTATAGAAGGAAGTAGCTGTCTTGTGGTCTTTCCCATGGCTGATTTATTTTATTTCTTTTCTTTCTTTTTTTTTTTTTCTTTTTTTGAGACAGAGTCTTTCCTAGTGGCATGCTCTCAACTCACTGCAACCTCCACCTCCTGGGTTCAAATGATTCCCCTGCCTCAGCCTCCTGAGTAGCTGGGATTACAGGTGCATGCCACCACACCCAGCTAGATTTTTTACTCTTAGTAGAGACAGAGTTTCACCCTGTTGGCCAGGCTGGTCTCAAACTCCTGAACTCAGGTGATCCACCTGCCTCAGCCTCCCAAAGTGCTGGAATTACAGGTATGAGGCACTGCTCCTGGCCTTGGCTCATTTATTTTCTCCACAAAGCCATTTCTTCCGAGTCAGTGATTCTCAAACTTTATAGCATATCAACTAGAAGGACTGTCAAAACAAAGGCTGCTAAGCCCTTCCCCCAGAATTTGTCTTATAGGTGTGGAGTGGGACCCCAGAATTTGCTTTTCTAACAACTTTTAACGGGGGGTGCTGCTGCTGCTGGCCTGGGAATCCCACTTTAAGAACCACATTATGAAGGGGACAGGACACTGATTGCTCATGCCAGCTCAGAGGCAACACAAAGGAGACTCTTTTTAAGCAGTGTGTCTGTGCTTCAGGTCACACAAGGGCCAAGTCAGGGCAGCCAGGGCCATGACCCTTTTGGCTGCTGTTGGGAGGGGAGGAGGGTACTTGCTCCTGGGTGCTCCCTCATCTCCACTGCGCTATCAGCCAGGTGGGATGGAGACAGCCTGAGGCTGGCCAGATCTTTGCGGGCCCTTCTATCTTCCTTCTGCCGGCTCAGGCCTCCTCAACACAGGAGGCCAGACAGAGGGGCAAGTTTGCCTCATTCTGGCCTCTCGGTCCAGGGTATGGAACACTTCCTCTTCCCTAAGCATCCCATCCATCCCTGTCTAGTTATGCTTCCTCTCTTCAAGGTAACAAAGTTTCTCAGACAACAAACGTCTCTAGTCACTTGAGCCCAATTCCTCTTTTCAGGATCCAGGACTCTCAGGCAACTCATCAGCAACACTGATGTAATCCTGATCACGGATTCAATCCTGAAACGACCAAGGCAGTGAGTCTAGAGTGAGGCCAGGTATTTCCCTGTGATCCAAAAAGCACTCTGCATGCACTTTCCTGAGAGTTGGCAGGTCTAGGACACCTCTGCCAGCCTCACAGCCAGCTGGATCCTAGATTCCTGGTATACATTCACTTCCATCTGGTTTTCTCATCCCTGCTGTGGTCAGCAGAATACCACCCTCCCATATCCAGGTCCTAATCCTCGGAAGCTATGACTATGTTAGGTTACATGACAAAAGGGAACGGAATTGCCAATGGAATTAAGGTTGCTAACCAGCTGGCTTTAAAGATTCTCCTCAACTATATGGGTGAGCCCAGTGTAATCATGAGGGTCCCAGCTACTCAGGAGGCTGAGGCAGGAGAATTGCCTGAACCCAGGAGGCGGAGGTTGCGGTGAGCCGAGATCGCGCCATTGCACTCCAGCCTGGGTAACAAGAGCGAAACTCCGTCTCAAAAAAAAAAAAAAAAAAAAAAAAAAAAAAAAGGTGGAAAAGGGCTGCGGAGAGAGAACCACAGAGAGGGCAGCAGTGGAAGGACTCTGGCTGAGGCTGCTACTTTGAAGATGGCAGAAGGGGCTGCGAGTCAAGGGATGCAGGTAGCGTATGGAGATTGGAAAAGACAAGAAAAGATTCTCCCCTGGAGCCTCCAGGAGGAATGTAGCGCTGTCGACACCTTGATTTCAGCCCAGTGAGACTCACTTCAGTCTTCTTACAAAACCATAAGCCCCAAACTGCAGATGCCTAAGGTAGTGAAGAGCTAACTCAAAGGCATTTGTGGGTGTGCCTTGCCCTATGGAGCGAATTCCATTAAGATTCATAGGAAGATCCCACAATTAAGAAGCTTACATTAGCAAAAATGCCACCAGCTGTGACTGAAATGGACAGAGACAATACAAAATGAAGAGGCCTTCGCATCTCCACACTCATTTCTTTCCTGGGTAACCCAGTCCTCTCCCCTTAACGACAAAATGCCTCTAAAACGGAGTCGATAGGTGGAAAATCGCTTGTGGAGTAATCTCCAACGGGCTTGAGGGAAAGCCCATTGAAACATCCCCAGCCTACAGCAAGGAAGCCCTTAAGAGGGACAGCATTCAGGAACCTCCTCCCGCTAAAATGCTGATCGAACACTGCCCCTGAAATTACACAGCAGTTCCCGCCAGCCGATAGGTTTTTTATACTTTGAGGGTTCCAGGCCACCCACCCACCTACCCACCCACGGCTGCCCTGTTCAGACTGAGGGACTTCTCATTTCCTTAGTCTTCCCAAACCCTAATTACGGCTCAAGAGGACCGTGAAAGCGACCAGGGGTTGCTCTGAGTCGAAGGCCAAGGAGGGACAGGCGTCCCGGGAGCAAAAAACCGCGGAGGGAAAACCAGGAGCCCAGCGCCCACGAAGATCGGCGCCTAGCGTACGCCAACGTTCCCAGGACCCTTCGCTGCCTAGTCGCTTCCTGTCCCCGGGACTCCTTATTGTTGGATTCTGGTGGACTTTAAAGAAGTATGCAACAAAAAAACACGATAGATAATAGATTTTGGGAGGAAGAACAGGCGGAAGCCTTTCTGGGAAGTAAAGTCCCTGAGCGTGTGTATACCACAAACCTGGGGGCAGGAATGAAAGACGTTGACCAGAAACAGAGCCCTGCGGCGACTTATGGGAAACTGAGTCCGGTGAGGCCGCGGCGGGGCGTGTGCGCATGACCGGAAGTGACGATATCAGGCACCTCCCTCTGGCGCCGGAGCGGGTCCTGGCGTTGGGCAGTGTTTGATCTGCGGTTCCTGAGCTGGCGTGGGTCGTTTGTCGATTGTTGCCGGTTGCCAGTCGTTTTTCGGAAAGCCGGCAGCCGGCTTTTTCACCGGGTTCTGCTTGAGGCCGAGTCAAAGAGTGGCTGTGACTCGGGAGACGGAGTGGGACACCCGGCTGGGCAGGCCTGGTCCGAGCACCCGCGACCCAGCACCACAGGATGAGCCCGTGCCTCTGAGGCGAGAGGCTGGTGAGGAAGAAGTGTCCAACCTGAGAGCCGTCAGAGCAGCCCTGGAAGACGGGTGGGGGCTGCTGTAGATAGACCCTGACGCCCAGAGACCTGCTGGGAGGCTGTGGCGCGAGGTGGGACTCAAATGCTGGAGGAAGGTGAGGAGTGGTAGAGGGAGCGATCGTCAGGAGATCGGCCGCTGCCTCGTTTGCCCACGACTGCGGCTGTGAGAGCCGCATCAGAACTCTCTTCATCTCTTCCGCAGGTGGTTGGAGACAATCCTCTTTTCTTTCTTTGCCCGTGACACAGCCCCAGGAGATCCTGAGAACATGTGCCCCGACAGTCCTTTTTTTGAGTAAAGAATTCGGGGGTCTAAAAAGTTTGAGGACCTCAGGGCTGCGCGATTTCTGAGTCTTGTACCACGTACCCCAGTCTGCTTGATGCACCAATGACAGTGAGGAGTAGGGAGAAGTGGGTTCCTGAGGACTCTATCGCTTTTCTCCTGGCCCGTCTCGGAGCAGCCAGGGATGCCTGCAAGCCCAGGAAAGGTTGAGGGCAGGTCAGCCCAGTAGGATTGTGAAGTTGTGGAGGACAGGGGAATTTGCAGTTAGAAGGCACAGGTTCTTGTGAAAGCTGTGAGGTATCAGCCCTGTCTCTTAACCTGTATTTCTCCATGGAAGAAAGGACAAAATAACGTTACTTTGTTTACCTCAGAGAGTAATCATCAAATGAAATAACACTTTTGAAAGCACCCTGAATGTGGTACCGAACAAATGTGTAAGCAGGCAACCTCTGTAGGCCTTACCCACCAACGCCTGCGGTGTTCACCCCTAGATCAACTATGTTTGGTCTGTTACTCTCCAAGTGCAGTTTTACATCCAGCATTTGGTGCTGTCCACAAGATCAAGAGGTCCTTATATTTGTTTTTTTGTTTTATTTTGTTTTTGAGACAGTTGCTCTGTCACTCAGTCTGGAGTGCAGTGGTGCGATCTCGGCTCACTGCAGCCTCTGCCTCCCAGGTTCAAGCAATTCTCCTGCCTCACCCTCCTGAGTAACTGGGACTACAGGTGCCTGCCATTACAGACGTCTGATATCCGGCTAATTTTTGTATTTTTAGTAGAGACAGGGTTCCACTATGTTGGCGAGGCTGGTCTTAAACTCCTGACCTCAAGTGATCCACCCACTTCAGCCTCCCAAAGTGCTGGGATGACAGGTGTGAGCCACTGCACCTGGCCAAGAGGTCCTTATATTTGGTCTTGCACTTGAAGAGTAGAGAGTGCAATTTCACATCCAGCATGTTGTGTTATCTTCCCCAGAGACCTGGGAAAACAGGTGGTCATTCATCCACTTCATACTACAAAAGTGAAAATATGTGCTGTCAGGTTAGATTACTCAGTAGCAAGAGCCAGGCGCGGTGGCTCAAGCCTGTAATCCCAGCACTTTGGGAGGCCGAGGCGGGTGGATCAGGAGGTCAAGAGATCGAGACCATCCTGGTCAACATGGTGAAACCCCGTCTCTACTAAAAATACAAAAATTAGCTGGGCATGGTGGCGCACGCCTGTAGTCCCAGCTACTAGGGAGGCTGAGGCAGGAGAATTGCTTGAACCCAGGAGGCGGAGGTTGCGGTGAGCCGAGATCATGCCATTGCACTCCAGCCTGGGTAACAAGAGCGAAACCCCGTCTCAAAAAAAAAAAAAAAAAAAAAAAAAGATTACTCAGTAGCAGAGGGTCTGTTCTAAGATCAGTATCTAGATCTATTTATTTTATTCAGACATCCTTCACATATCATAACACTCACCCTTTTAAAGTGAACAATTCAGTGCTTTTTAGTATTTTCACAAAGTTGCACAACCATCACTATTTAATTCTAGAACATTTTCATTAACTGAAGAAGAAACCCCATAACCTTTAGCAGTCACTCACCGGTCCCCTATTTCTTTGCAAATCCCTGGCAACCACTTATTTACTTTCTGCCACTGTGGATTTGCCTAGGATGTTTCAAATGAATGGACTTATAACGTATGACTTTTTTTTTTTTTTTTTTTTTTTTCCGAGATGGAGTTTTGCTCTTGTTGCCCAGGATGGAGTGCAATGGTGCAATCTCGGCTCACTGCAACCTCTGCCTCCCGGGTTCAAGTGATTCTGCTGCCTCAACCTCCCGAATAGCTGGGATTACAGGCACCCACCACTATGCCCTGCTAATTTTTGTCTTTTTAGTAGAGATGGGGTTTCACTGTGTTGCTCAGACTGGTCTCGAACTCTTGGGTTCCCTGAGTTCTGTGATGCACTCAGCCTCTTCACTTTCTTGACAAGGTCTTTTGGAAGTACAAAGTTTTTAATTTTGAAGAATCCAACTTACCTATTTTTACTTTTGCTGCTTGTGCTTTTGGTGTCATATCTAAGAAATCACTGCTGAATCCAGGCTCACAAAAATGTATGGTTTTCTTCTAAGAGTTCTACTCTTTTTAAAATTTCTTTGGGATAGTGTCTTACTCTGTCAACCAGACTGGAGTGCAATGATGTGATCACAACTTGCTGTAGCCTCGACCTCCCTGGCTCAAGCGATCCTTCCACCTCAGTCCCCAAGTAGCTAGGACTTTGGCACACACTACCAAGCCTGGCTAAATTTTGTTTTGTTTTGTTTTGTTTTTTTTAAGATGGGGTTTCACCATGTTGGTCAGGCTGGTCTTGAACTCCCAACCTCAGATGATCCACCCATCTTGGTCACCAAAGTGCTTAGATTACAGGCGTGAGCCGCCACGCCCAGCCTAAATTTTGTATTTTTAATAGAGACAGTGTCTTGCCATGTTGCCCAGGCTAGTCTCAAACTCCTGGGCTCAAGCAATCTGCCCACATCAGCCTTCAAAGTGCTGGGATAACAGGTATGAGCCACCACACCTAGCCAAGTGTTTTACCACTTAACTTTAGGTCTTTGATATATTTTGAGTTAATTTTTAAATATGGTGTGAAATGAGCCTCTGTGCCCCGCCTATTGTTTTCATGTAAGCAAATGCCTTAAATTTGCGGGGCCACTTTCTCCAAAGAACTAAGTAATAGATAATCTTTTTAAACTATATACTTAGGCGCTGGGCATTTGCAGACTGCTTTATCTCTATGTTCCTTTACTCTTCACAGCAACCTTACAAGGGATTATCATCCCCATTTTGTAGATGAGAAAAATGAGACTTAGAGAAGTTACATGATTTGCCCACTGCTGCTGAGTGGTAGATCATGGATACATGAGAGTCTGTTAACACTCTAATGCCTCCCTACATCTGAGTGAGTTGATGGCATTTCTGAGGCAGGAGAGAATGGGGAAATTTACATCACACAGGTCTGCAGATTCAGCCCATGTGCCCTGGTAGCTGCTATGTCCCCTCTTCACAATGACAATTGGTGACTTCATAAACTGCTTTTATACCTTATTAGTTTTGTTCTCTTTCTCTAGTACTACCTTCCCCAGACCCTGCCCTTCCCCAAGAGGAAAACACAGGAGAGGAAGGAATGGCTGCTGGTCTCCTCACAGCTGGGCCCCGAGTAAGTTGCAAATTAACTTTGGGAGGCATCCTTCCCCCACCCCATCCCCTCCAGGGTTGACTTGCTTTTTGATGTCGTTTGTTTTATTTATTTATTTTATTTTTTTTTTTTGAGACTGAATCTCATTCTGTTGCCCAGGCTGGAGTGCAGTGGCATGATCTCGGCTCAGTGCAACCTCTACATCCTAGGTTCAAGCGATTCTCCTGCCTCAGCCTCTCAGGTAGCTGGGATTATAGGCACTACCACACCCAGCTAATTTTTTTGTGTTTTTGGTAGAGATGGGGTTTCACCATGTTGGGCAGGCTGGTCTCAAATTCCTAATCACTCAAGTGATCTGCCCGCCTCTGTAAGTGCTGGGATTACAGGCGTGAGCCACCACGCCCAGCCTGTTTTTTTGTTTTTGTTTTTGTTTTCCCTGAGACAGGGCCTCAATCTGTCACCTAGGGTGCAGTGCAGTAGTACAATCACAACTCACTGCAGCCTCGACCTCCTGAGCTCAAGCAATCTCCCCACCTCAGCCTCCCAAGTAAGTGGGACCACAGGCTTATGCCACCATTCCCAGCTAATTTTTTAAGTTTTGTAGGGTCAGGGTTTGGGTCAGGGTTTTGCTGTGTTGCCCAGTCTGGTCTTGAACTCCTTGGCTCAAGCCATCCTCCAGCCTTGGCCTCCCAAAGTGCTAGGGTTAGAGGTGTGAGCCATCCCACCCAATCATTGTAGGTTTTGTTTTGTTTTTTGTTTTTTTTTTTTTTTGAGACGGAGTTTCGCTCTTGTTACCCAGGCTGGAGTGCAATGGCGCGATCTCGGCTCACCGCAACCTCCGCCTCCTGGGCTCAGGCAATTCTCCTGCCTCAGCCTCCTAAGTAGCTGGGATTACAGGCACGCGCCACCACGCCCAGCTAGTTTTTTGTATTTTTTTTAGTAGAGACGGGGTTTCACCATGTTGACCAGGATGGTCTCGATCTCTCAACCTCGTGATCCACCCGCCTCGGCCTCCCAAAGTGCTGGGATTACAGGCTTGAGCCACCGCGCCCGGCATTTGTTTTGTTTTTAAAAGTTTTCTGCAATGAACGAAGTAATTCATTTTTACTGGAAAATAGAGAAAACACAAAGAAAAAGTTAAAAATCACTGTTAATCCCACAAAAAAAATAGCACCTAACATTTTGATTTGTGTCCTCTCAGTCATATTCTCTATCTTTTGTTGTTTTGTTGTCATTGTTGTTGTTGTTGTTGTTGTTGTTGTTGTTGGAGTCTTGCTCTGTCGCCCAGCCTGGAGTGCAGTGGTACGATCTCAGCTCACTGCAGCCTCTGCCTCCCGGGTTCAAGTGCTTCTCCTGCCTCAGCCTCCTGAGTAGCTGGGATTACAGGTGCGCCCTACCACAGTGCATCCTGCCACACCTGGCTAATTTTTGCATTTTTGGTAGAGACGGGGTTTCGTCATGTCGGCCAGGCTGGTCTTGAACTCCTGACCTCAAGTGATCCACCCGCCTCCCAAAGTGCTGGAATTACAGGGGTGAGCCACCGCACCCAGCTCATATTCTTTCTTTTCTATATTTTTCCCAAAGTGGATTTATTCTGCCCTGTAATGTTTCTGTTTTCACTTAGCAGAATTCAATGAACATTCTCCCATTTCACTGCATATTCTACCAAATCATTTCTAACACATTCTTGTTTTTTTCTTTAAATAATTTCAGCTTACTATTTTAGATTCAGGGTAGATGTGCAGACTTGTTACATGGGTATATTGCGTGATACCAGGGTTTGGGGTACAGATGATATCATCACTCAGGTAGGGAGCATAGCATCTTATAGGTACTTTTTCAGCTGATGCCGCATTTTCTCTCTCCTGCCTCTAGTAGTCCCCAGTGGTTTTTGTTCCCATCTTCGTGTCCATATATACTCGGGGTTTAGCTGCCCTACTCATAAATGAGAACATACAGTATTTGGTTTTCTACTCCTGCATTAATTCACTTAAGATAATGGACTCCAGATGCATCCATGTCACTGCAAAGGACATGGCTTCATTTTTTATGGCTGCATCGTATTCCACATGTATATCATATTCTGTGTGTTTATTTTCTTTACCTGGACCACCATTGTTGGGCACCTGGGTTGATTCCATGTCTTTGCTGTTGTGAACAGCACTATGAGGAACATGCACGTGAATCTGTCTTTTTGGTAGAATGATTTATTTTCCTTTCAGTATTTACACTCAAATATTTATTTTCCTTCGAGTATTTATACCTGGGATTGCTGGGTCGAATGACAGCTCTGTTTTTAAGTTCTTTGGGAAATCTCCAGACTGCTTTTCCACAGTGACTGAACTAATTTAATTAACATTCCCATCGGCAGGTATAAGCTTTCCCTTTTCTCTGCAGCCTCACTGGCGTCTGTTAGTTTTTACTTTTTAATGTTAGCCATTCTGCCTGGTGTGAGAATATCTCATGGTTTTGATTTGCATTTCTCTGGTGATTAGTGATGATGAGTATTTTTTCGTCTATTGGCCACTCGTATGTCTTTCTGCTCATGTCTTTTGCCTGCTTTTTAATGTGATTGTTTGTTTTTTGCTTGTTGCTTTAAGTTCCTTATAGATTCTGGATATTAGACCTTTGTCAGATGCAAATTTTTGAATATCTTTTCCCATCCTGTCGGTTGTGTGTTTAGTCTGTTGATAGTTTCTCTCTCTTTTTTTTTTTTGAGAGTCTTACTTTGTCACCCAGTCTGGAGTGCAGTGGCACAATCTCAGCTCACTGCAACCTCCACCTCCCTGGCTCAAGTGAGTCTCATGCCTCAGCCTCCAGAGTAGCTAGGATTACAGGTGTGAGTCACCACAACCAGCTAATTTTTGTATTTTTAGTAGAGAGGGGGTTTTACCTTGTTGGCCAGGCTGCTCTTGAACTCCTAACCTCAGGTGACCCTCCCACCTGGGCCTTCCAAAGGATTACAAACGTGAGCCACCACCCCTGGCCCTAATAATTTCTTTTGTTGTACAGAAGCTCTTTAATCAGGTCTCACTTGTCAGTTTGGGTTGTAGTTGCTTTTGAGGACCTAAGCCAAGAATTCTTTGCCAGAGCCAAGGTCAAGAAGGGTTTTTCCTTGGTTTTCTCCTATGGTTTTTATAATTTAAGGTTTTATATTTAAATCTTTAATCCATCTTGAGTTAATTTTTGTATATGGTGAAAGGTAGGGGCCCAGTTTCACTCTTCTGCATATGGCTAGCCAGTTATCCCAGTACCATTTATTGAGTAGGGAGTCTTTTCCACATTGCTTGTTCCTGTTGATTTCCTTGAAGATCAGGTGGTTATAGGTTTCTGGGTTCTCTTTTCTGGGTCTGCGTGCCTGTTTTCGTACCAGTGCCATGCTGTCTAACACATTGTTTCTTTCATATAGTCCTATGAGAGTAGGAACTGTCCTTTTTTCTTGACTAGGTAATTAGCTATTTCTTTTCTCCCTGCCTGCCCGCACCCACCCCCCGCCCCACCAAAAAAAACCCCAAAAGATGGAGTTTTGCTCTTGTTATGGAGACTGGAGTACAATGTTGCGATCTAGGCTTACTGCAACCTCTGCCTACTAGGTTCAAGCGATTTTCCTGCATCAACCTCCTGAGTAGCCGGGATTACAGGCATGTGCCAAGACACCCGGCCAATTTTTTGTATTTTTAGTAGAGATGGGGTTTCTCCATGTTGGTGAAGGTGGTCTCGAACTCCTGACTCAGGTGATCTGCCTGCCTTGGCCTCCCAAAGTGCTTGGATTACAGGTATGAACCACCATGCCCAGGCTATTTTCATGTTTAAAGTTTGCTGTGGGGTTTCCTTGTCAGGAAAGAGCATTACTCTTTATTAATATATTTTTCTTTATTAATCTTTTGTTCTGCTTCCCTCAGGTTTATTTTAAAATTCATTTTTTAACTTCTTGAGTTGAATCCTTAACTAACCTTCTTCCTTGCTTGTTTACATTGAAGGTTTTTGGCTATGTATTTTATTTTGTTTAGATATTCCAAACTTATAATTTGGATTTCTTCGTCTGCCCATTTGGCTGGTCTTCATGAGGATTGAGTCATGTCTCTTGTCAGCACAAAATGCCAGCACAGTCTGATTGCGGGGCGTAGGGTTTGCTAGCTCTGCCAGCTCAACCTTATTAAATTGGTCTGTCTTCCATGTCTTTATTCTTTTTTGTGGTTTATTCCCTTTGGGCTGTCAATGACTGAGTTATTTTAACATCTCTGAAAACCCTAATATTCCAAATTTCTCGTCATATTTCCTGCAGCTGTTTCTTTATTTTTTATTTTCATTATTTTTTATTTTTATTTTTATTGAGGCCAATACTCACGGAGACATTCCACCCCTGCTGGCCTGGCCTACCAAGCTGTTTCTTTATGTATTATATATTTCATCGCTCATGACATTTATATCTTTATAATGGACATTACTTTCTTGATTATTTTGAAGTTACACAAAGATTTTAAATATTTTTTAGTTTTTTATATTTTTAGTAGAGGTGGGATTTCACCATGTTGGCCAGGCTGGTCTGGAACTCCTAACCTCAGGTGATCCTCCTGCCTCAGCCTCCCAAAGTGTCAGGATTACAGGCGTGAGCCACCATGCCCAGGATAAATATTTCTTAGTTTTAAAAGGTGACCCTCAGGCTGGGTGCGGTGGCTCATGCCTGTAATCCTAGCACTTTGGGAGACTGAGGTGGGTGGATCACCTGAGGTCAGGAGTTCAAGACCAGCCTGGCCATCATGGTGAAACCCCATCTTAAAAAAAAAAAAAAAAAAAAAAAAAAGGTGACCCTCTTTGTTCCGCTGAATGTACCTCTTGGTGTGATGAATGGATTGGAAGAGCAGGTAAAATCAGAGGCCCAGAGACTGGTTCCAATATGGAAATTGTTGCTGGTTTGCAAGGCAGTGGTAGAGGAGTGGAAATAAATGGGTGAATTCTCATGATAATAGGAGGAAGAGTCAATGAGTAAGCTGCAGTAAAGGATAGCATAATACCCAGGTTCTGGCTTGGCCAGCTAGGTGAAGGAGGCCCCTCCCCGAGCTGGGAACAGACAAGGAGCAGAAGGTGAAGATGGGTTTCTCTGTTGCATTTTGTCGAGTTTGAGTTCCTGTGGGACTTGGCCAGGAGATGATTTCTGCCTTAGGTTAATACTGTATGTTAGCTCCTGATTCTTTTCTTCTCTTTCCATCTGGCTACCCCTGCCCCCGAGTACCTAGCAGAGGATGTATTACATAGAGCAGGTGCCTCTGTGTTACATGTACAGCTTCAGCTGAACTGTGTGCCTTGCAGCTCCTGCCCAGAGTCTCCTAACTCCAGACCTGTGTTTTCACCTGTGATAGAACATCTGCACCTGGATTTCCTATGGCCACCTGAAACTCTGTGGGCCCCAAAACAAACTCGTTACCTTACTAATAGACCCCTTCCCATGTTTCTTCTCTTTGTGATGACACTATCATCTCTCTGGTCTTCCAAGCAGGAAACACGTTTGATTCATTCTCAGATCTTCTTCTCAAGTTCATTTCTGGCCTTGCCTCTAGTCCCTCTCCTCAAGCAGGATCCTCTCTCAGCTTGACACTGACACTGTTGGAGTTCTTTTTTCTTTTTTTTGAGACAGAGTTTTGCTCTTTGTTGCCTAGGTTGGAGTATAGTGGTGCGATCTCGGCTCACTGCAACTTCTGCCTCCTGCGTTCAACCAGTTCTCCTGCCTCAGCCTCCCAAGAAGCTGGGATTACAGGTGCCCACCACCATACCTGGCTAATTTTTGTAGAGACAGGGTTTCACCATGTTGGCCAGGCTGATCTCAAACTACTGACCTCAGGTGATCCACCTGCCTCAGCCTCCCAAACTGCTGGGATTACTGGTGTGAGCCACTTTGCCACACCTGTTGGAGTGTTGGAGTTCTTAAAACCACCTCTCCTCACCTCCATCTCAAGACACAGTGGCCTTCCAGCAGCTCCTGTTGCCTGAGAGATAAAAGCACCATATTTATCAAGTGATTCAAAGCTTTTTACATTCTGACTTCAACAACCTTTCTGCCACTCTTCATCCCCTCACCCCAACTGCCTGCCATTTCCTAATCACACCAGGACTGTCTCGCCTCCATGCCTTTGCTCATGGTACCTCTCCTGACTTGGATAGCTTTCTCTTGCTCCATCCGGGAACCTTATCCTTCAAGGCCAGCTCAGTAATTGCCTTCTCTCTGTGGTCCTCCCAGCTTGTCCTCCCTCCCTGCCTTTCTGTTCTCCTGGCAACCAGTCTGTCTCTTTCTTTGACACGTGCTACATTTGATTGTATACATACCTGGCTCTCCTGCTGTACTGGGTGATACGTGAGTTCCCAAAAATATTTGTTAGATGTTCTGAAAACTCAGCTTTCACATTTCTTTGATAATTTGCACCTGATTCTTCACTATATCAACTCATTCTAATTTTGCTCTTTATTATCTCTTCAAGTCCCAAGCACCCATTAATTTTTGGCCAGTTACTACACAGACACACACATACTCTCACACACTCACACTCACACTTATACACTGTTTCTCTCTATTTATACATAAAGTATACTAGGATTATAAATGTGTGAAGATGAGACAGTGGTGTGTGTGTGTGTGTGTCAGAATTATTATAATATTAGGCACTTCAATGCTAATGATCAATAAGTGCTTTTCTGGTTTTTTTTGTTTTTTTTTTTTTAGTCAGAGCCTTGCTGTGTAGCACAGGCTGGAGTGCAGTGGCACAATCTCAGCTCACTGCAATCTCTGCCTCCTGGGTTCAAGCAATTCTCCTGCCTTAGCCTCTCGAGTAGCTGGGATTACAGGTGTGCACTACCACACCCGGCTAATTTTTGTATTTTTAGTAGAGACAAGGTTTTGCCATGTTGGCCAGGCTGGTTTCAAACTCCTGGCCTCAAGTGATCTGCCTGCCTTGCCTCCTGGCCTCCCAAGGTGCCAGGATTACAGGCATGAGCCACTGCACCCAGCCATTTTCTTCAGCTACCCAGAGACCTGAATCTTCTCAAAGACTCTTTTCCAGCTCCCCCTAAACTGCCAACATCAAGCACCCCGTCACCTCTACCCTAGATCCTGAGGCCACTGGCAAGATGAAATGTGCTTGTTTTTTCAGGGATCCACATCCTTTAGCAGTGTGACAGTAGCTTTTGCACAGGAAGGGTGGAGGTGCCTCGTGTCTACTCCAAGGGACAGGTTCAAGGAGGGGATACCAGAAAAGTCCAGGAACCTTGTCCTACTAGGTAAGGAAACTGTTTTTTGTTTTTTTGTTTTTTTAAGATTCAGAACCAGTTAATTCTGAAAATCTGTGGCACTTGCTTTTCAGTATGTGGGGATCTCTGATGGCTGTGATGGACCAGAGGGATGGTGTTTATTCCTCTTATTCTCTTGTGGAAGGTCTCTGTATGCCCACTTGGCAAATAGGCGTTTCCCTTTGCTTCTTCCAAGGCTGTACCTCCCCATTCTCTCATTCCCAGAAGGGGTTGGGTAACCCTCAGGTCATTTCCTCTATGTTCAGTTAAGTTTCCGTCTTCCTAAATTGGGAACTTTCTGAGTTTAGCTTAGCTCCCTGGCTTGAGCCCTCCTTCAGGCTGTTTCCTAGCTCCTTCCAGAAATGTTGTACGTAACCTTGGCATGTCCTGGTGAGGTGGCTAACACCTGTAATCCGAGCATTTTGGGAAGTCAAGGTAGAACAGTCAGCTGACACCAGCCTGAGGAACATAGTAAGCCCTGTCTCTAAAATTAAAAAGATGTTTAAAAAGACCTTTATACTATGTCTCTTACTTCTGCTGTAGTCCCTGGTACATGTACCAAGTAAGTGCTCAATAAGCATTTGTTTGCTGAATGAAATGAGAACAATCTGACTGGCCTGCTTGCTGTCCCCTGAGTTCTGGGTGGCTGTTCATACTTATTCACAATTTCTAAAGCCTGTTTTTTTCTGTCGAATAGGACTTCCAGTTTCCCAGCCTGGCATGAACTCCCAGTTGGAACTAAGGGAAGGCGCATGGATGCTGGAGGGCAAAGACCTGCGAAATTCCTCTCCAAGTAAGTGAGCAACTATTAGCCAGCAGGAGTCTTGGGAGCAAAAGTGCCTTGAAATCACAAGAGTGCCTTTGATTATTGTAACAACTGTGAGGTAGGCGCTATTACCTCCATTCTATAGATGAGGAAATGGAGCTGAGAGAGGCTGACTCACTGGTTTAAAGCTGAGATTTGAAGCAAGCTCTGTCTGCCTCTAAAACACACTTTTCCTCACCTCATCCTTACAGAGGCTCCCAGGGCCAAGAGGTGTTTGAGGGTGCTGTGATGTTACTGGCTTCTGAAAGAGTATCCTTCCTTATTGGTGCGGAACAAGAGTCATCTTTGTTGGCCTGGCACATTCCCTGCTTGGGTCTACCTCACCGAGGATCCTTTACTCATGCCACTGGCTGTCACGGCTCCTGCTGCCACCCCATCTGCCCCTTAATTCATTCTGCCTCTCCCTTCTCACTGCATGGCAGTGCCAAAATTTTCCAAAGGGCTGATACTGAGAAACTCAGGGAAAACAGAAGGAAGAGAGACCGTAGTTTCCGCTGCATCTCTCTTACTGCCCATCTACAGCTGCCAACCTCTCTCAGCCTCTGCCCTGGTGTGACATCTGGCAGGGCCTCAGCAGCTTTTCCCTGGGGACCCAGTCACTTTTGATGTTTGAGATGTAAGTCATCAAAGGTACAAATGAATTAGGCCACTTTGAGGTGACAACATTTGACCTGTTTCTAAAGATGCAGCCTGTCTATGTTTTGCTTTATTTTTTTAGTTATAAGTTATTGCTGCTGATAGGGCAATGGGCACAAAGCCCCTGGAGCATCCTTTGCATGGTTCCCTGGAGCTGCCTCTCCTCCTTCCCATCTTACCATCCTTCAAGCAGCCTGTCGCTCGTGGCTGCCCGGCACCACTCATGCTTGTGGAAGCTGCCTGTGGCAGGGAGCTTCCCTGGCCCTGCTGCTTCCTCCTCCCAAGGCCCCTTCTGCCTTAGTGTTTCTATGTTCTATATAGTCTTTCCGTCCTCTGTGGAGCTTCAGAAATTGAGAGCAGTGTTTAGTGGCGAGGGGAACAACTGCATTTTTCTGGGAAGAGTGTTCATCATAGTCTCAGAGGGATTCAAGAGCCTGAAAAGGTCGCTATATGAGTTTTCTTGGGCTCTCATAAGAAATAACCACAAACTGGGTGAACTAAAAACAAGAACAACAGCGGTTGATGCACTCACGGTTCCGGAGGCCAGAGGCCTGAAACCACGGTGTCAGCAGGGCCGGCTCCCTCCACAGGCTCCGGGGAGTGTCCTCCCTTGCCTCTTTCTAGTTTCCGGTGGTTGCCAGCAATCTTCAGTGTTCGTTGGCTTATAGCTGTATCACTCCAATCTCTGCCCCTATCATCACATGACATTCTCTGTGTCCAGATTTCCTTCTTTTGAGGGTATTAAAATACCCGAGTCCAGTTTGGCCTCATTTTAGCTTGTGATTACATCCACAAAGACCTTATTTCCAAGCATGGACACATTCTGTACTTTGAGGTGGACATGATGCGGGGGTTAAAATCACCACATCACGGTGGCTCAAGCCTGTAATCCCAGCACTTTGGGAGGCCGAGGCGGGTGGATCACGAGGTCAAGAGAACGAGACCATCCTGGTCAACATGGTGAAACCCCGTCTCTACTAAAAATACAAAAAATTAGCTGGGCATGGTGGCGTGTGCCTGTAATCCCGGCTACTCAGGTGGCTGAGGCAGGAGAATTGCCTGAACCCAGGAGGCGGAGGTTGCGGTGAGCCGAGATCGCGCCATTGCACTCCAGCCTGGGTAACAAGAGCGAAACTCCATCTCAAAAAAAAAAAAAAAAATCACCACATCATAGAAACAGGAGTTGGAAAGGGTCATTTCCAGCAAGGGGGTGCTTGGAGGCATCAGTGTAGGGCAGTAGAAGCAGCTCTGAGTGTGGGTGCGCCTGAGCGGAGAACCAGAGCCTCTGCTCTTGCACAGCAGTTGTCAGCACAGGAGACTTCTGTGAGCAGAGAGGGCTAAGTTTTTCCCCGCACACCAAGCAAGCAATTAATTTTGTAGCAGACACCATCAACCTGGGGATAGCATCAGATCCCACAGGTTGAGGGCTCAGTCCCACAAGGTGCCCCCTGCTCTTTCCCACCAGTCGCAAGTCCAGGCCTCCAGAACTTTTGACTGACTGGCTTCAGATTGGAGTTCCCGTGACTCCTCTTTGGATTACATTAATTTGTTAGAGAAATTACACAGAACTTGGGGAAGCACTTATTTTAGGAAGGATGAAGATGAACAGCTACATGGGACGAGGTGTGGGGAAGGCGCAGCGAGCTTTCATGGCTTCCCTGGACAGCCACCCTGCAGGAGCCTCCATGTGTTCAGCTCTCTGGAAGCTCTCCAAAGCCTGTCCGCTTGGGCCTCTTACTCATCAGAGAGGCATGACTGAAGCAGGGGCAACATGTTGAAATGAGATTGGACAGAAAAGGCCTGACTGAACACGAGTAGACTGAGTGGGGACACCCAGCAGGGATTGTCTGTGCAGATTCTTCTTGGCCTCTGCACAGCATTCCTTCCTCCAGGGTGTGGGGCAGGATCTTCTCTGGAATAAGGGTTTTATGGGCCACATTCAGATTAGAGTCCTACCTTGGGCAGGTGAAAGAAGGGCAGGGGGAGGTCAGGGAGAGATTCTGTCTTCTGAGGCCTAAAGTGCTCTAACGTTTTAACAAAAGACTGTAGCAGTGACAGTGCACAGTGGCTCATGCCTGTAATCTCAGCACTTTGGGAGGCTGAGTCAGGCAGATCACCTGAGGTCAGGAGTTCAAGACCAGTCTGGCCAATATGAGGAAAACCCATCTCTACTAAAAATACAAAAATTCGCTGGGCATGGTGGCACGCACCTGTAGTCCCAGATACTCGGGAGGCTGAGGCATGAGAATTGCTTGAACCCAGGAGGCAGAGGCTGCCGTGAGCCAAGACTGTGCCACTGCACTCCAGCCTGGGTGACTAAGTGAGACTCTCTCTCAAGAAAAAAAAAAAAAAAGACTGTAGCAATGACTATGGGAGTTATGAGCAAGGAACTGTGGGTGAAATACACACACACACATGCACACACATGTATACACGTATATCTCATGTCCTGTGAGTATGAAAGACACATGCTCACAATCCCTGCTTGCCATGCATTAAGTACATGGATTCCAGGCACACCACTGAACTATGTAGTCATGTTTCCATATATGAAAAATGTAGACGATAAAATCTTATTTCGCCAATTAACATATGTATAAAAAAAGTTGTCAACTGTAGAGTTACATAAGCTATACAATAGTGAACAGAAGTGGTTGGGGGCAAGTTTCCACTCTGGCTATTTGAGCAGCTCAACATGGCCTGCTGGCCTCTGCCCTGACTCACAGTGTGTCTTGGCATCACTGTGCCTCTGAGGGCTTGGTTTGGGCCCTGTGTTATTCTACCCTACCCTCCCAAGTGACAGACCCAGGAGTTTAAAGTGCCATTCTCCCTGCTGCTTGCTTTAGGGACTTCTATGGTGGGTGCTAATGTTTTCCCTGACCCTGCTGGCCAGTACTACTCATTCTGATTCATTGAATTATTCATCAATCAGCAAGTGTGCATTAAACATTTGGTGCGTGCCTGGCATCATTTTAGCTGCCATTGGTAAAATGTATCCCCTTTGTTGAGTGGGGATGAGGACAGACACAGTCTCTGCTTACGTCTTAGTGAAGAACATGAACTGAGCAAACAATAACTAATCCACTTTTTATGGTGATGAGTTGCATGAAGAAAATAAAGCATTGCAAGGGATTAGTGACTGGGGCACAAGGCTGAGTTGGGAATAGAAGGGGAGGGAGCTGTTTGAGAGCAGATGAAGAGGAAAGACTCTTTGGAGGTGACATTGGAGCCGAGAGTTGATGGAAGAGGATGAGCAGCTGTGTGGAGACCTGGGAGAGGAACATTCTGGACCACAGCATATGTTGAGGCCTTGATGTGGGAATGAGCTTGCTTGTTTAAGGATTGGAAGGCCTGTGTGGCCAGAGCTTAGTAAATGTGAGGATGAGTGGTATGCGGGGGGCACTGGAGCCATGCTAAGGCATTTGGGTTTTAGTCACCTAGGAAAATAAGCCATGAGATTTACGTTTTTAAAGAATTCAACATTTGGCAAGTGACACTGGCGAAAAAAATTAAAAAGAATTCAGCACATGGGCCGGGCTCAGTGGCTCATGCCTGTAATCCCAGCACTTTGGGAGGTCCAGGCAGGTGGATCACGAGGTCAGGAGTACGAGACCATCCTGGCCAACATGGTGAAACCCCATCTCTACTAAAAATACAAAAAATTAGCCAGGTGTGGTGGCATACACCTGTATCCTAGCTACTCAGGAAGCTGAGGCAGGAGAATTGCTTGAATGAGAGGCAGAGGTTGCAGTGAGCTGAGATTGTGCCATTGCACTCCAGCCTGGGCAACAGAGCAAGACTCAAAATAATAATAATCATTTAGCATATGTGTGAAGAATGGACATCCAGGGTCAGGCATGGGGAGGTCATTAGGAGAAGGCTCTTGCAGACATGGGAATGTGAGGTGATAGTGGCCTATAAGAGCGGGGGATAGGACATACTTTGCTGTTAAAGCCAACACGACTTGCTGGTGGATTGGATGTGAGAGGTAGGGGCAGGAGGCATTAAGCGTGACCCTAGGTTTTGGCCTGAACAGTTGGATAAGTAGGAAGATTAACAAAGGCACTGGGTTAAAAGGGAGATCAGTAGCTTTGTTTGGGGTATGCTGGGCCTGAGATGTCATCAGACAGTCTTCTAGTGGAGCCAGCACTCAAGAGAGGTGAGCTGAGGGACTGGCCATTTGTAAGCATCACGTGGTCCTCTGAATTCCCCCTTTTCCCCATGGCTTCTTTTCTTGTCACTCTTCCTCTCCTTTTGATTGTTTTTACTCAATTAGATGGTCTGTGATGGTGAAACTCCATCTCTACCAAAAATATAAAAATTAGCCAGTCATGGTGGTTCACGCTTATAATCCCAGCTACTCAAGAGGCTGAGGCAGGAGAATTGCTTGAACCCGGGAGGCAGAGGTTGCAGTGAGCTGAGATCATGCCACTGCACTCCAGCCTGGGTGACAGAGGGAGACTCCATCTCAAAAGAAAAGAAAAAAGCTGTCAAACTCATAGATTATGGGATTCCAAGTTACAGAGAGACGCTCTCAGCCTTCAGTGGGGGCCGCTGTACTCTTGGTTGACTGGAGGCATTGGTGTGCCCTTGCAGTTGTAAGGGAAGCCTACTTAATGTTTTAGCATGGTTTGTAAGGAGAAGGTCCAGAATAACAAAAACCACGCAGCTAACACTTACTGCACCTCAACTACGCTTCTCGGTCCTTTATGTGTTTTAACTCATTTAATCCTCACAGTAATTCTGTGCGGGCGCTGCTTTCACAGATGATAAATCCAAGACTTCAAAAGATTACATTAATTTGCCCAAAGTCACAGAGCAAGTAAGAGGTGGAGCCCAGATCTGAATCCAGGCAGTCTGGGTGAAGTGTATAGAAATTCAACAAAATCAAATAGTACAAATTCAACAAGAGAGTCGGGCATGGTAGCTCAAGCCTGTAATCCCAGCACTTTGGGAGGCTGAGGTAGGTTGATCACCTGAGGTCAGTTCGAGACCAGCCTGAACAACATAGTGAAACCCTATCTCTACTAAAAGTAAAGAATTAGCCAGGCATGGTGGCACATGCTTGTAATCCCAGCTACTTGGGAAGCTGAGGCAGGAGAATCACTTGAACCCTGGAGGTGGATGTTGCAGTGAGCCAAGATCGCACCATTGCACTCCAGCCTGGGCAACAAGAGTAAAGCTCCGTCTCAGGCCAGGCATGGTGGCTCACGCCTGTAATCCCAGCACTTTGGGAGGCCAAGGTGAGTGGATCACCTGAAGTCAGAAGTTCAAGAGCAGCCTGGCCAACATGCTGAATACTGTCTCTACCAAAAATACAAAAATTAGCCAGGCATGGTGGTGGGCACCTGTAATCTCAGCTACTCAGGAGGCTGAAGCAGGAGAATTGCTTGGACCCAGGAAGCGGAGGTTGCAGTGAGCTGAGATTGCACTACTGCACTCCAGCCTAGGTAACAAGAGTAAGACTCTGTCTCTAAAATAAAAAAAAGCAAAGCTCCATCTCAAAAAAAAAAAATTCAAGGAAAGGATACTTAGAACTAGTCTTGCTCCTCTCTCCTCTGAGAAAGAAGGTAGAAAGGGGGAAGAGTCTTTTCAGAAAAGTGGACTTTTATGGAAAGAAGTATAGCTCTCCCTAAAACTCTACTCCCTCACTGCAGGCCCCTGTGTGGGAGACAGGGAAGTCTGGGACCTATGATTTACCTAATTTTAACATATTCCAAGTATTATACAGTCAGTCATATGCTGCTTAATGACAGGGATATGTTCTGAGAAATGCATCACTGGGCGATTTCATTGTCATGCTAATATCATAGAGTACTTACATAAACCTAAATAGTGTAGCCTCCTACACACCTAGGCCGTATGGGATAGCCTGTTGCTCCCAGGCTACAAACCTCTACAGCCTGGTACTGTACTGAATAGTACAGGCAGTTGTAATGGTATTTGTGTACATAGAAAAGGTGCAGTAAAGATACAGCATAAAAGATAAAAGATGGTACACTTGTATAGAGCACTTAGCATGCGTGGAGCTTGCAGGACTCCGAGTGAGTGGTGAGTGGATGTGAAGGCCTACGCCAGGCGTCCCCAAACTACAGCCCGCGGGCCGCATGCGGCCCCCTGAGGCCATTTATCCGGCCCCTCGCAGCACTTCAGGAAGGGGCACCTCTTTCATTGGTGGTCAGTGAGAGGAGCACAGTATGTGGCGGCCCTCCAATGGTCTGAGGGACAGTGAACTGGCCCCCTGTGTAAAAAGTTTGGGGATGCCTGGCCTACGCCATTGCTGGACATAAAGTAGACTTTAGAAACATCATGCACTTAGGTTACACCAAGTTTACGTATTTTTCTTTGGGAGGCCGAGGATGGATTGCTTGAGCCCAGGAGTTTAAGACCAGCCCAGGCAACTTGACAAAACCCTATTTCAACAAAAAATACAAAACTTAGCTGGATGTGGTAGGACAGGCCTGTAGTCCCAGCTGCTCAGAGGCTGAGGTGGGAGGATCACTTGAGCCCAGGAGGTTGAGGCTGCAGTTAGCCATGATCGTGTGAGATCCTCTCAAAATGTGTGTGTGGTATGTGTGTGTGGTACTACTTTTTTACTTTTTAAACTCTTGTTAAAAACTAAGAAACAGGCTGGGTGCAGTGGCTCACGCCTGTAATCCCAGCACTTTGGGAGGCTGAGGCCGGCGGATCATGAGGTCAGGAGTTCGAGACCAGACTAGCCAACATGGTGAATCCCTGTTGCTACTAAAAATACAAAAACGAGTTGGGCATGGTGGCGAGCGCCTGTAATCCCAGCTACTCAGAAGGTGAGGCAGGAGAATTACTTGAACCCGGGAGGCACAGACTGTGGTGAGCTGAGATCACGCCACTGCACTCCAGCCTGGGGGACAGAGCGAGACTCCGTCTCAAAAAAACTAAGGAACACACACACATTAGCCTAGACCTGACAGGATTGTGAGTATCACTGTCTTCCACCTCCACATCTTGTCCCACTGGCAGATCTTCAGGGGTAATAACAAGCATGGAGCTGTCATCTCTGAAATAACAATGCCTTCTGGAAAACCTCCTGATGGACCTGCCTGAGGCTATTTTACAGAAAACTTTTTTTTTTTAGTAGGAGTACAGTGTAAAATAACTATTAAAAGCACAGTTTAGGCTGGGTGTGGTGGCTCATACTTGTAATCCCCAGTATGTTGGGAGGCTGAGGTGGGAGGGTCGCTTGAGTCCAGGAGTTCAAGACCAGCCTGGCCAATGTGGGGAGACCTGTCTCTCCAAAATATCAGAATTACCCAGGCATGGTGGTGTGCTCCTGTAATCCCAGCTATTCAGGAGGCTGAGGGGAGGATTGCTTGAGCCCAGGAGGTTGAGGCTGCAGTAAGCCGTGACTGCATCCCACCTTCCAGTCTGAGTGTGACTCTGTCTCAATTGAAAGAAAAAAATTAAGTATAATAAATACATAAGCTGGTAACATAGTTTACAGAGTATTAGTACAGTGCATAATCTTATGTGCTGTACTTTCATATGACTGGCAGTGCAGTAGATTTGTTTACACCAGCATCACCACAAACATTAGTAACACATTGCACTACATTACAATAACTTGGAAGTCACTAGGTAATAGACTCCATTACACTCTTATGAAAGGTGGTGAATCATTAAATGTATGTGTAAGAGCTTGGCCAGACTCCTTCAGCCTTTAGTATTCCTTCCACCAAGGGAATACAATGGCTTTTTAATTTTTTTTCAGACTGGAAGATCGTATCTGAATCGCCACCAGAACAAGCCCTTTCTGAAGAATCATTCCAACACCCAAGTGTAGAGATGTCCCCTGAGGATTCAGACCACAGGACCGGTGAACATGAGAAGAGCTTCAACCTGAGACCAGTCCTCTCTCCACAGCAGAGAGTGCCTGTGGAGGCAAGACCTCGCAAATGTGAGGCACATACCAAGAGCTTCAAGAACTCGGAAATACTGAAACCTCTCAGAGCAAAACCATATGCATGTAATGAGTGTGGCAAAGCCTTCAGTTACTGTTCTTCCCTTTCTCAGCACCAGAAGAGCCACACTGGAGAGAAGCCCTATGAGTGCAGTGAATGCGGGAAGGCCTTCAGCCAGAGCTCATCTCTCATTCAGCACCAGAGGATTCACACTGGAGAGAAACCTTACAAGTGCAGTGAATGTGGAAGAGCCTTCAGCCAGAACGCCAACCTCACCAAGCACCAGCGAACCCACACCGGAGAAAAGCCCTACAGATGCAGCGAGTGTGAGAAAGCCTTCAGTGACTGCTCAGCTCTTGTTCAACATCAGCGGATTCATACTGGAGAGAAGCCCTACGAATGCAGTGACTGCGGGAAGGCCTTCCGTCACAGCGCGAACCTCACGAACCACCAGAGGACTCACACCGGGGAGAAGCCATACAAGTGCAGCGAGTGTGGGAAGGCCTTCAGTTACTGTGCAGCCTTTATTCAGCACCAGCGAATTCACACTGGGGAGAAGCCCTATAGATGTGCCGCGTGTGGGAAGGCCTTCAGCCAGAGTGCAAACCTCACCAACCACCAGAGGACTCACACTGGGGAGAAGCCATACAAGTGCAGCGAGTGTGGGAAAGCCTTCAGCCAGAGCACAAATCTTATAATCCACCAAAAGACCCACACCGGTGAGAAGCCATATAAATGTAATGAATGTGGGAAATTCTTCAGTGAGAGCTCAGCCCTTATTCGACATCACATAATCCACACTGGAGAAAAACCTTATGAGTGTAACGAGTGTGGTAAAGCATTTAACCAGAGCTCATCCCTCAGTCAGCATCAGAGAATCCACACAGGCGTGAAACCCTACGAATGCAGCGAGTGTGGGAAGGCCTTCAGATGCAGCTCTGCCTTCATTAGACATCAGAGACTCCACACTGGAGAGTAACCAGGAACACGGTGGAAGTGGAGAGAGCCCCGGAAATGCCTACTCAGGACTAAGGATGATGGGTGAGGACCCTGAGAAATGCTAAAGGCTTGAAAGCATCTGAGGACATCTGGAGTCTGTAGCCCAGAGCCACATGCAGAAATACCTTCAATAAATAGCCACTATTTCATATGCTACATGTGGATGCTCAGGAGCTCTCCTTCCTTCTCTAAGCATCAAAGGATCCAGGGCTCCCTCCATTCCAGTGTACGTTTGCCTTTATTCAGACAGTGGGCCAAGCACTTTATTTGGTAAGCACTCTAGAAACCTGAGTTTATTCGGAGTAAGTGACCAAATCCATGAGTAAAGAACTTGGTTCCTACATCAAAGCCAAGTCTTTGGGCAGTGCTGGCAGTTTCTCCTGGAGGTAAAGAGAAATGTTGTGAAAGAACTTAAGAGCATTGACCAGAAATGATTGAAAAACCATCCAATTTGGGGCAAGGGGAAGTTTAAATACAAGTGAGAAAAGGGATTCTAGAGTGGGTAACATTCCTTAATATTCTAGAACTCAAAAAAGCATAGCCAGGACTAGCCTTTGTAAAACTTGTTGCTGTTAAATCTCACCCAGAGGCTACTGGGGTTGAGGGTAGAGCATGCTGCTAATGAACTGAGGCACATCCCTTTCCATGGAGTAGGAAGCACCCAGAATGGGGAGATGTGACAGCCATGCTGGCAGGTGAGGCATACACTGCCCCAGGCTTTTCCTCCTCCCTCCCTCATGGATCAGTACAACATTCCCTTTGTACTGAAACCCCAGATTTTTGGCTTTGGCCTGCTTACTGTGTTATTTACTGTTAACTTGTTGAGTTGGTACAGTTCCTTCTAGAACACTGGAATGGAATGCTTTTGTGCCAGTCCCTCACTCTCATCACTGAGGCTGGAGTGCAGTGGTACAATAGCTTACTGAAGCCTCCACTCCTGAGAAAAGGGCTGGCTATGTGGCCCAGGCTGGTTTTAATTCCTGACCTCAAGGAATGCCCCTGCCACGGCCTCCTAAAGTGCTGAGTATAGGAACAAACCACTGCACCCAAAATAGAATCCTCTAAGGGGACTCATATAGTTCTTTACACTTAAGGCAGTTCTCCAACTTGGGGTGACATAAAAGCACTGACTTAAACCACTAGCAAAAAATTAATGTGCAAAGAAAATGAGTCATATGGGGGAAACTCGGTTCTTGGGGCAACCATTTCCAACTCCCTTTACTCCAGTATCAAGAATCCTCTCCCAGGCGGTGCTTCACACTACTCAGGAGTTGCAGGGTTCATCCCAAAGCAAAAGGGAGCGACGAGCACAGTCTCTAGAAGTAGATCAGAACAGTGGGAAGATGAAACAGCAGAAAATATTTTAAACCAAGTGAATTCAGAGAAAAGGCTGGAAGAACTGTTTAGTCACTGCAACAGATGACTGGAACCTCACTTTCACAGGACCAAAGGAGGAGTGCAGGACTCACAGTGGTCAGGTTTCTTTGTTGCAGCATTGGTTCTGAGCCCTAGCTGGGCACCCGAATAGCGACACCAAAATGGGTCCTGGGCCCCCAACCCACCCATAGCTTCAGGTGGCTGGGGATGGAGAGCTGCATTCTCCATGTGTTTGTGTTGAACTGCAGGTTTTGTTAGAGCATTTCTTAGGAAAGGCTTCATGAACAGTCAAGTGCTTCCTTTCTGGGCTCAGCCCAGCCCAGCCCAGACAGGGCAGTTCTGTTACCCACCACAAGGTGCTTCTTTCTTCTCCACAGGTTCTGCCACCCTGACTCCACTGACCGCCCCGCAAAGGAGCCAGCTCCCTCAAGGAAGACGCCGCACCAAAAAGTCCACCAGTTGTTAAATGACATTTATTGAAATATATTTTCCTTTGTGCTTAACTCTGTGGGAAAAGGAAAAAAAAAAAATCAGTAAGAAAGGGAAAATTTAAAAAGATCATCTCCTAACTCCACCAGTAACCATTTCCAGGACTTCCTAATCTCCATGAATACACTGGATGGCCCCCCTTTTGCCCCTATTGCAACAAGTAAAGCAAAAGTCACTTACAGCTGGACATTCCACAGCACCACTGTTGATGTCATCTATGATGTCGTGAGGGTGGCGGCCATCAACATTACAGCCCACAGACTGGGCAGTCCCCAGGATCTCTTTAATGGTTCCTTTAGGAAAGAAATGGTGGCATTGGAGGTGCTGGCTGAGTCCCTTACAATCCTCAGATACTGGGTAATACCTAAGGGTTTCATAGCAGGCAGTGGAAATAGTGATGTTACTGCCCCCCTGGAAAGAGTAGAGCTCCGTCTAGTCACAGCTCTAAATGCAAAGCTTCCATGGGTCCTTGATGCCCAGATTAAACACATCCAATTTAAGAACCATCCATTCTTTCAATCCCAGAAAACTCTGCACCCTATCTTGGGTCTCACTGAGTACCCTTCAAGTGGGAAGAGTGTTAACCACTCAGTGGAAATACAACTACAGGTTACAGCAGTTACATGTAGTCCTGCTCTTACCAGAGAGTTCTCTGGCTAAAGATCGGTGCCGCATCTGTCGAGCAATGTTGACAATCTCATCGAAAGTGATATTCCCGCTGTGTTTAACTGCAGAAAAGAGGAAACAGCAAAAGCTTTGTTACAGTCTGAAGCCAAAGCAGATCAAGAGTTCTTCATCCCATTTCTAGGCTGTTCCCATGCTTTCGGCACAGAGTCATCCACATGCAGAACAACCCTGTTTCCTAAGCTGGGGTTTACTATCAGCTCACCACTGGACTGCACCAGCCAACAGAGACCTGGTCAGGTGCAGTGGCGGGTGGCTAAGGGCAAAACCAAGCCTTCACAAATCTGATGTGGCAGAAACAGAGATAAGAAATGACAAGCTTAAATTACTGGGGACAATTAAACTACCCAGTACCTGCCAGCTCTATATGGCCGCCTGATTGTAAGTCACTGTTGCTAGCATCTTCCTCCCATACACTGGTTGGGGCCTGCCCCACACAGGGACTACATGGCACTTTTGAGACAGAGTCTCGCTCTGTCGCCCAGACTGGAGTGCAGTGGCACACTCTTGGCTCACTGCTGCAACCTCTGCCTCCTGGGTTCAAGCGATTCTCCTGCCTCAGCCGCCCAAGTAGCTAGAACTACAGTCATGCACCACCATGCCAGGCTATTTTTTTTTTTTTTGGTGGAAATGGGGTTTCACCATGTTGGCCAGACTGGTCTTGAACTCTGACCTCAAGTGATGCATCGCGCCAGGCCTACATGGCATTTTGATACTGCCTGGCTCTAGCAGCCTTAACCAATCAACACCAAATACCCATGTCAACCTCAGATTTCCTTCAAGGGAAAACACGGCCATGTATATCAAACATCTCACAAACCATTACCAAAACCAAACTAGGAAAAAGACAACTCACTGTTTTTCTGTTTCTTTCTGTCTCTTGGTGGTTCCTTAAGGGCTTTGATGATCAGGGCAGAGGCAGAAGGCACCACCTCAATCTGCAGAAGAGATTTCTGAGTAAATCAACTACTCCACCTCCGATGAATACTGCATGCACAGTGGCTCTCAAAAATCATGGGCCTCACCATCCAAGTCTTTGCCCTAAGTCTGTGCTCTTGACAAAGCCTTCCCAACAAGGTAAAATTACTCTCAGCTCACCACTGGTGGCAGAAATACTCTATTCAGGAATCCCAGAGGGTGGTTACCTCTGTCCCCCCACCCCCAAAACAAGTGCACAAGTAAATACCTGGGCCTGTCTGTTCTGAATGGTCAGTTTCACTGTAATCCTCAGGCCCTTCCAGTCACCCGTTGCCTTGGCAATGTCATCACCAACCTTTTTTGGAGACTGTAGAAATAAAGGCATGTAATCAGCATGGGTGTCCATAGATGAACCACAGCCTTGAAGCCTGTCCACCACTTCTCACTTGGCAACAAAGGAAGCTATTGCAAGTACCTAAGGACACCCCCCCAACAGGAGCACAGCTATCACCACAGCATAAATTGGGGGGGGCTGGGGTTGTGTTTTCCAGGACTGTAAGCTGTGGACTCAGCCACAATGGAGCCTAGACCCCCTCATAAGTACCTATGTGCTTTAAAGAGGGGGATTTTCAGCCCTAATGACATTAGAATCACCTAGGGAGCTTTCAAGACACTAGGCTCCCAAGTCAGGCCACCCACATCCACCTGCCTGGATGGGACTCTGGACATTTGCACTCGGAAATTCTTCTCTATTAACCTTTAGCCTAAACAATAGGCTAAGTGTCCCTTAAGTGCCAGCTGAGCTAAGGGTCAAGGAAGAATAGTTCAGATGCAGGTTAAGAAAGACCAATGGGAAAGAGCATTTGGGACAGGGGACCACTGTGCAGGGATTAAAGTCCTAATGAAATCCAGGGAAATCCAAGTACAGAATGACAGGGAAGCTGGCAGTTGCTCAGTAGGCATAAGGCACAGCCTGTCACGTCAACCGCTAGGTTTATATCTACAACGCAGTTGGAAATGCTCACTGGATTTTCACTCCTACCCCATTTAATCTCCCTAACAATGCCATGCCCACTTCCCTAATGAAATACAGATATTGAGGCCGGGCGCGGTGGCTCAAGCCTGTAATCCCAGCACTTTGGGAGGCCGAGGCGGGTGGATCACGAGGTCAAGAGATCGAGACCATCCTGGTCAACATGGTGAAACCCCGTCTCTACTAAAAATACAAAAAATTAGCTGGGCATGGTGGCGCGTGCCTATAATCCCAGCTACTCAGGAGGCTGAGGTTGCGGTGAGCAGAGATCGTGCCATTGCACTCCAGCCTGGGTAACAAGAGTGAAACTCCGTCTCAAAAAAAAAAAAAAAAAAAAAAAAAAAAATTAGCTGGGCATGGCGGCGTGTGCCTGTAATCCCAGCTACTCAGGAGGCTGAGGCAGAATTGCCGGAACCCAGGAGGCGGAGGTTGCGGTGAGCAGAGATCGCGCCATTGCACTCCAGCCTGGGCAACAAGAGCGAAACTGTCTCAAAAAAAAAAAAAAAAAAAAGAAAAGAAATACAGATATTGGCTGCCCGATGTCACAAAGCCACTCCTGACTTCCAAACTCCCTTGGGCCCACCCCTCACGAACACCAAAGCATCAGTGGAGACACGTGGAGATAATTATAATTTAAAGGTACCGGCTTCGATTTTCTTCTACTCACGACCTTCCTAAGGTACCTAACATTAGTTCAGTGGCTCAGGCCTAGTGAGGATGACAGTCCAAGCCATGACCGCACCTCTAGCACAGTCGTGACTCCACTAGCCGGCGCTTAACACTACTCTAAAGAAATGCCCCTTGGCGGGGATTACCTACCAGACCCAAGGGGCCGATCTTGGGGGCAAGCGCAGAAGTAGCACCGACTTCACCCCCAGTGCACCTCAGGTATACTGCGAGGGAAAAAAGAGTTAGTGTCTCCGCAGAGGGAGCCCCCGAGCCACAACCCTCTCAGCGTCTTTCCGGGGCTGGGCACACCACCCCCTCTGCCTCTTCTCGAAACAGCACCGAGCGAGAGGCTGGCCATCCGCTCCTCCCTCGGGGTGGGCAGCTCCGAACCTCACACCGGGGGAGGCGTGGAGAGAGCCCCGTCGTCTGCGAACCCAGGCCAGTGGGGCTAAACGCCCGAAGACAAGCCTTACCCTGAGGCGTGCGGGTTCCCAAGCCGCCACAGGTGGTCCGGTCCTCCCTTCCCACTTACACGTGGAGAAGCTAAGGCCCAGAAAGGCTGAGGCTTGGCCGGGACGGCGCAGCACCGGGAAGGCCTCTAGGAGGCAGAGGCTTTAGAGCCCCATATGGGAAAGCTTTCAACGCGCGGCGGGGCCGAGGGATGCTGCATCCCGCAGCCCCGGCCACAACTAGGGCACGCACCGACTTTGATCTCGTTGGGGTCGAACTTCGGCGGCATGGTGGAGGCGGCTGGTGTCGGATGAACCCGGATTCGGGACGACCGAAGAAAGTTGCACCTTGGCCTCCTCCGAGCCGAAAGCCGAAAGGCCGGAAATAACACCAACAACGCCGGATATAGGTAGGAAAACTCGGCACTCGCGAGAACTGTCTTCACTGCCCAGCCTTCCAGAGATGCCCTTGTCGCCATGTTTGTTGTGGGCATGCGCCTGAGGCTGACGGCTGGCGAACCCGGGCACTGCGGTGCGCTGAAGCTGAAGATTCTGAAAGGGGCTTCGGGTGGTTTGCTTCGGAGAAGTCTGAGAAGAGTGATTGCTCCCGAGATCCCAGGCCTAGCTGTTTCCCGTATTCTTTATCGTGAGTGTCACCCCGGTCCCTGTCACCCAATCCCAGAGCCCCGCCCCTCCCCTAAGGAGTCCATAGTCCCATTCCGGAACCCCAGTACCGCAGCGACCCCTGCCCCCTCGAGCACTTGGTGTATGCACTTTAGTTATCAAAACAGTCCGTTTATGTGAAAATCCAGTCCCGCTCTTCATTCTGAGAGTCCGCGGTTCCGAGAGCCTCAGACTTCGTCATCCCGGTCTGCGTGACTTTCTGAGATTCTGAGTTTCTGTTCCCAGCACCTGCGTTTGCAGGAGACCAGACTCCGGTTCCGCCCGGCCCGTGCCAGGTGGTCTGCGGCCGCGAGTCCGTGGCCAAGCCCTCCAGGTGATCGACCTGCCCGCGGGTCCCAAAGTGGGGGACCCCTCCATCCACAAAGCCAGGTCAGCCACTGCCCACCCTAGCCCAGGAAGTATGGGTGTGGCCCTCGCCCTGCTTCTGGGCTGGACGTCGGAGAGGGAGGGACTGGCATATAAGGCAGTCTGAAAAGAGCTGATCTTCTGGGAGGGGTGGGAGAGCGATGGTGGTTGGGAGAAAGTGGGGAGGGGGAGGTGGGTTCAGGAGGGTTAGTGACTAGGGAGCAGAAGGGTATGCTGGTCATCAGGGAGGGATGGGGGAGGGCTATTTTCAAACCATTTCTCATCCTTGCAGGCAGGTGGGATGGCAAGAGGTGCCTGAGCTGGCTCTGCAGGCCTGGCTGCCTCCCCAGACAGCCCTGCCCCCTGTGGGTGCAGAGCTGCCATCTCTGCCCATCCGTCTGAGGACTGGGTGTGTGTCTTCTTCAGCTGCATCTCCTCCCATGACTGTCTTCTCCCTAGCTCCTCTAGCAGGCCCTGAGTCTGCTAGACTGTTGGTTGCATGTGGGGTGCTTTGTGGCTAACATTTATTGAGCGCTCGTTGTGCTCCAGGTACCGTCCTATGGGCTTGACATACGTGAAGTCATTAGATCCTCACAGAAGCCAGTGTTGATAGCAGGGTTACCCACACTTTACAGATGAGGAAACTGAGGCCATAAGACATAAGCCAAGATGATCTCTGCAGTTGTGGGTGGCAGATCTCAGATTCAAACCAATTCTATTTCATCCCAAAGCCTGTGCTGCTCACCATGCACTTCCCTTGGGTGATTGCTTCCCAGCCCATTGCCATCACTTACCCAGCTCTGATATTTACAGACACTGTGCAGGCCCTGGGCAGGCAGTGAGCACCTGGCTCTGAGTTCAGGACAGTGTACTTGGTGTGTGCCAAGTTATGTGAGCACCAAAGAGTCAGGCAAATCTCACAGGTCACGACTTGAGAGACCAGGGTTCCAGGCTGGCTTTTCTGTAATCCAGGCTGGACAGCCAGGCCACTGAACTTAATAAGCGTCTGTTTTTTCACTTTATGTATGCATAGTATGTGTGTATTATTATTTTCTGAGACAGAGTCTCCCTCTGTCACCCAGGCTGGAGTGCAGTGGCACGATCTCAGCTCACTGCAACCTCCGCCTCTTGGGTTCAAGTGATTCTTGTGCCTCAGCCTCCCAAGTAGCTGAGACTAAGGTGCACGTCACCATGCCCAGCTACTTTTTGTATTTTTAGTGGAGACAGGATTTTGCCATGTTATCCAGGCTGGTCTCAAACTCCTGGGCTCAACTGACCCACTCATCTTGGCCTCCCAAATTGCTGGGATTACAGGCATGAGCCACCACACCCAGCCTGTTTCTTCACTTTAAAAAGGGATATGGTGAGAATAAAATAGAATAACAACTGAGGTTGGTAAGCTGAGGATTGCTTTTTAATTTGTATTCTCTGCAGAGGTCTCTTTGGTCGTGATGTAGTTGAGCTCCCGAGGTTCTGACTGGCTTTGGTTTGGTCCTGCTGATCCTGCTCTGACAGTGTTTGGGGGGCTAGAAGTGATTCACTGACAGAGTCTGTTAGAGTCCTCAAAGAACAGCCTTGGAAAATGCCTGAGGAAACTTCTCTAAGTTTCCCCAGAATGGGGAAAGGATAATACCAGGGCCTCACTGTGTGTTGGTGGCAAACGTGGGCCCTAACCCGGGTCATCTGGCTTGTGTCTGTCCCTTTCCACCTCATCCTGCTGCTTAATGTTTATTCAACAAAGAACAAGGAGTCCTGAGTACCTGCTGTGGGATCAGGGCACAGGCAGGACTAGAGAGACACAGCCTCGACCCCATGAAACTCACTAGAAAGATGAAGTCCTGCCTCCATGGAACTCACTGGAAAGATGCAACCCCTCCTCCCATGGAACTCACTACAAAGACGTACCCCCTGCCCCCAGTGAAACTCACAAGGAAGACACAACCCCTACTTCCATGGAACTTAGTAGAAAGACACGGCCCCTGCCTCCCTGCAACTCACTAGAAAGACGCAGCCCCTGCCTCCATGGAACTCTCTAGAAAGACTAGGCATCTGCCTCCTTGGAACTCACTAAAAAGACACAGCCCCTGCCTCCATGGAACTCATGGTCCAGGAGACCAGCTGCATGCTGTGTTACTGTACTACCTGTCCCGGCTGTTAGGGTCTGTGACAAATTCTCCAGGCTGTAACTTCTCTTCTGTACCCCAGGGTCTGAAAGATTTCTCTGGGAAAAAGGAAGGATGCCGCTTTTCTTCCGGAAGCGGAAACCCAGTGAGGAGGCTCGGAAACGCCTGGAATACCAGATGTGCCTGGTGAGGGAAAGTGGGTTTCCTCTCACTCTATCCCAGCTCCTCCTCTGTCCCTGTGGAGTAGGGCTCCACACTGCCCCCGACAAGCATGCTCCCTCCAGTCTGCCTCCCCTACCCACAAAAGAAATTTGAAAGAGGTAAAAGAAAACAGATGAGGCCCCTGCTAAGGGTGCATCTCCCCTGTAGACTGGGCGTACTGTCATTGCTTTTCAGTCCCTCATCCCTCTGCGCCTCAAGCTCCAGGAAAGCAGGGGTCACTGGCTAACCTGCCACATGGACCAGTGGAACCAGATAGTGTCTGTGGGTGGAACCAGATAGTGTCTGTGGGCGGAACCAGATCGTGTCTGTGGGCGGAACCAGATAGTGTCTGTGGGCGGAACCAGATAGTGTCTGTGGTCCTTTGCAGCCGCCTAAGTGTATGTTCTTTGCCTGGTTTGTCTACTCTGCAAGGATGTTTTGTTTTAATACTTTTTAAAAATTACTTTTATCCTTAGGCAAAAGAAGCTGGGGCAGATGACATTCTTGACATCTCTAAATGTGAACTCTCAGAGGTAAACTGAGCATCGCGTTGGGCTGTGAATTGGATCTGTCCCATTTTCTTGGTTCATGTGTCCCTAGGAAAGACAGAGGTAGACTGGGGCTTTAGAAAGGCCAGAAGCACTAGTCACGAGATATTTCCTTAGATTTTGTTCTTGTCCAAAAGAATTGAGATGATCTTTTGGCCTCAACATAATATAGTTCCCAAGAGTCAAGGAATCTAAGTGGAAAATGTACCTACAGACTCCCAGGGTGCTGGAAGAGCCTGGCATTCTCTGACCTTGAAGGGGTTCAACGATGGGGACAGGGTGGGTGGGTCAGAGCAGTCTCCTGCCATCTGACTGAGGGAAGGGCTGGCCACATCCCCAGCACCACTGCCCGCCAGCCTTGCCCCTGGGCTCAGCACTGCCGCCTGCTGCAGGGTTTTGCCCTTGTTCACTTCCTGCCCCTCTCTTCCTCACATGAATGCTGCTCAGAGAACAAGCCACAAATCGACAGATGGGAGAAACTTACTCTTCTTTATCTTATCTTAGATTCCCTTTGGAGCTTTTGCAACATGCAAAGTTCTGCAGAAGAAGGTGAGAAGGAGCTTCATCTTCGGAAACTGGCTTATTGCATGTTTGTTTGCTTGAAGCTTCAAGGGACTTTGAGGAGCTGTCTCCCTTGCATAGACACCTCCTTTCTCCCTGTTTCTTATACTTTTGGCCTACAGCAGATGTTTTCACAGACAGGAGAGTAGGCTTTGGGGTTGGACACCCTCACCCCATGTCACCTTCTGACTCTGCCTTCACTGGCTTCATGACTTGGGCAACTTCCTTAAACTCTTCTCTGTTTCTTCATCTGTGAAATGAAGACATTCATAGTTCTCCTCTGTCAGAGGCACTGTGAGAATTAAATGAGTGGTAGAAAGCTAGAGATAGAAATATGCTGAGTATAATGCCTGCCACGTAGTAAAGGCTGATGAACCCTGGTGTTAATGATAACAGAAACTCACTCCTTTTATTCTGGTCACCCAGGAGAGATTCCGAGGGGAGTGAATGATTTTTCAGCAGAGCATTGCAGCTTTGAATGCAGATGAATAGAGGCACTCTAAGTGAAGTATCTAAATGAGAATATGTTAAAAAAAAAAAAAAGTGTTCTATGCCAACAGACTAGTGAGCTCCTTGGCACTGGAAGTGTGTGGGGTTTTTTTTGTTTGTTTGTTTGTTTTTTTGAGGTGGACACTTTGCTTGTCACCTAGGCTGGAGTACAGTGGCGCAATCTCAGCTCACTGAAACCTCCACCTCCTGGGTTCAAATGATTCTCCTTCCTCAGCCTCCTGAGCAGCTGGGATTACAGGTGCCCACTACCACACCCAACTAATTTTTGTATTTTTAGTAGAGATGGAGTTTCACCATGTTGGCCAGCCTTGTCTCGAACTCCTGACCTCAAGTGATCCATCCACCTTGGCCTGCCAAAGTGCTAGGATTATAGGCATGAGCCACTGTGCCCAGTCTGTGCTGGAAGTATTAGGTGGCCATTGATGCCTAAGAAAAATAGCCACAGATGACCTGGATTGAGCCCTGGCCCCTGTGCCAGCCCTGGACGTTTTGCACATGAGCTTGTTTAACATCATGGCAGCCCTAGGAGGCAGGCACTTTATTATTCTCTATTTTCCGCATGAAGATGCTGGCACTGGAAAGGTTATGATCAGGAACGGCTGCAGGGGGATCCTTTCTCAGTATGGAAGGAAGATTTAGACCTCTAAGGTCTCTTTCACCCTTGAAGATCCAGATTTTAAGGAAGGGCATCAGATTCCCCATGAGATTGGGAGAGTTCACGATTCTGACTTGCATCCCCTGCGACCCCTGTCACGGTGTCTGGGAGAGCAAGATGGCTGGGCATGGCAGGGCGCTAGGCTGGCTCCTGCGCCCTTAGCTTGTGCTGTCTGCTGCTCTTCCTCAGCCCAACATGGCCCCACATCTCTCCACACAGGTGCTGATCGTCCACACAAATCACCTCACTTCCCTGCTCCCCAAATCCTGCAGCCTCCTGAGTCTGGCAACCATCAAGGTACTGGGCCCTCCTCCCAGACGTCTGGGCTCTGCATGGGGTTCCAGGTGGCAGCCGATGGCCTGCTCCCTTTGGGCTGCCTCTTGTATGTCAGAGGGGCCTGATCTACCAGTCAATCTGGGATTTGATCAGCATGGTTCATCAGGCACTTCTGTGGGCTGTGTGTGAGATAGGGTGACAAAGATGACCAGCTACAGGCCCTGCCCCTGGGGAGTTTACATGCTAGGAGGAAAGTCAAATGATAAACTCATGATGTGTCAGCTAGCAGAGGGCTGACAGTCCCAGGCAGGAAGGAGGAGGAGGGATGCTCAAGTGATCTGGAAGGATTCCCTGCTGACTGTGAGCTCCTCCCCTGACGGGCTGGGAGGCATTCACACATATGGGAGGTATGAGCCCAGCGTTGTTGTGTGCAGACCTGAGCTTGGCAGAGTGGTATGTACCTTTAGAGCAGCCCGGCAGCACAAGCCTCAGAGTAACTGTGGGTGCTGGGATTGGGGGCAGTTTTTACTGCTTTTATTATTCTGGTCCAACATGTATTATTTTGTATTCAGAAAAAAGAACATTTTAAAAATATTTTTAAGGCCGGGCGTGGTGGCTCAAGCCTGTAATCCCAGCACTTTGGGAGGCCGAGGCGGGTGGATCACGAGGTCGAGAGATCGAGACCAACCTGGTCAACAGGGTGTAACCCCCTCTCTACTAAAAATACAAAAAATTAGCTGGGCATGGTGGCGCGTGCCTGTAATCCCAGCTATTCAGGAGGCTGAGGCAGGAGAATTGCCTGAACCCAGGAGGCGGAGGTTGCGGTGAGCCGAGATCGCGCCATTGCACTCCAGCCTGGGTAACGAGCGAAACTCCGTCTCAAAAAAAAAAAAAAAAAAAAAAATTTATATTTATATTTCATATATATGTATATCATATATACAGTTGTCCCTTGATATTCATGGGAGACTGGTTCCGGGAATCCCCAAGGATACCGAAACCTACAGATGCTCAAGTCCCTGCTATAAAGTGGCATCATATTTGCATATAACCTATGGACATCTGCTGTACACTTTAAATCATCTCTAGATTACTTATAATACCTAATACAAATGTAAATGCTACAAAATTGTTATAGTGTATTCGTTATTTTTTCTTTTTTGAGACAGGGTCTCACTTTATCACCCAGGCTGCAGTAAAGTGTTATAAACGTTGGCTCAAGTGATCTTCCCACCTCAGCCTCCCGAGTAGCTGGGACTACCATGCCCAGCTAATTTTTGTAGAGACAGGGCCTAACTATTTTGCCCAGGCTGTTCTCAAACTCCTGAGTTCAAGCGATCCACCTGCCTCAGCCTCCCAAACTACAGGCATGAGCCACCATGCCTAATCTGTTACACCATATTGTTTAGGGAATGATGAAAAGAGAAAAGTCTGTATCTGTTCACTACAGATGCTTTTTTTTTCTTCAATATTTTAACCTGAGTTTGGTTGAATCCCATAGATATGGAACCCATGGTTATAGAGGGTACCTGTGTGTGCATATGTGTAAATATTTCTCCAAGGCCTGTTTTGTGCATTTTCATTTTTTAAAAAATAGCACCCAGGTATGGTGGCTCACACCTGTAATCTCAGCACTTTGGGAGGCCAGGGTGGGCAGATCACTTGAGATCAGGAGTTCAAGACCAGCCTGGCCAACATGGCAAAACCCCATCTCTACTAAAAATACAAAAAAAACCCCAGCAGGGCACGATGGCTCATGCCTGTAATCCCAGCTACTTGGGAGGTTGAGGCACAAGAATCACTTGAACTGGGAGGTGGAGGTTGCAGTGAGCTGAGATCATGCCACTGTATTCCAGCCTGGGTGACAGAGTAAGACTTTGTCTCTAAATAAAATTAAAGAATTAGTAAGTACAGTTAAGCAAAGAAAAGGGGGAACATCTATAATTTTACACTGTGGAGTACCACTATTAATATTTTATCGCATATTTGAAAGTCTTTTTTCTATGCAAATATATATTTATACTATGGGGTGTTTCTTTTCAACATATAAATATCTAGGCATACTGTTTCACAGCATAGTTTTTCAATCAACAATAAAAATAAATATTTGATACATAAAATAAGAAAATGGTATGATAGTTTGAGAAGGAGGACGAGACGGGAATGATCACCACTGAGTTGGGGCACTCTGTTTCAGCACTGGGTATGGGGCGGCCCAGCCCCTCCTCGCCGCTTTGGAGCTGGCAGTCTGAGGGACTTTCTCTCTTGGCGACTCATGGGGGCCTTCCTTCTACAGGTTCTAGACCTCCACGATAATCAGCTGACAGCCCTTCCGGATGATCTGGGGCAACTGACTGCCCTCCAGGTAAGGCTGCAGAAGCAGAAACCCACCTCAGATGGCCCTAGTGAGACCAGGCAGTCACTTGAGCCTGGAGTGTTCTGGCCGGGCTCTGGCCAGTGGAAGCTGCACTAGTGCCAGCCCACCTTCCCCTTGGCTCTTCGTTTTTGTTTTATTTTGTTTTGTTGTTTTTTGTTGTTGTTGTTATTTTTGAGGCAGTGTCCCACTGCACTGCCCAGGCTGGAGTGCAGTGGCACCATCTCAGCTCATTGCAACCTCTGCCTCCCAAGTTCAAGTGATTCTCCTGTCTCAGCGTCCCTAGTAGCTGGAATTACAGGTGTGCACCACCACTCACAGCTAGTTTATATACATATATATATATATATATATACATTTTTTTTTTTTTTTTTTTTGAGATGGAGTTTCACTCTTGTTACCCAGGCTGGAGTGCAATGGTGTGATCTCGGCTCACTGCAACCTCTGCCTCCTGGGTTCAGGTAATTCTCCTGCCTCAGCCTCCTGAGTAGCTGGGATTACAGGCACGCGCCACTATGCCCAGCTAATGTTTTATATTTTTAGTAGAGACGGGGTTTCACCATGTTGACCAAGATGGTCTCGATCTCTTGACCTTATGATCCATCCGCCTCGGCCTCCCAAAGTGCTGGGATTACAGGCTTGAGCCACCGCGCCTGGCTTAGTTTTTATATTTTTAGTAGAGATGGTGTTTCGCCATGTTGGCCAGGTTGGTCTCAAACTCCTGACCTTAAGTGGTCCGCCTGTCTTGTCCTCCCAAAGTGCTGGGATTTCAGGTGTGGGCCACCACACCCGGCCCTCCCCTTGGCTCTTAAGACACCCAGCGGATGCCCCAGCTGTTGCGGTCTGTGCTATGTGTGCCTCTTAACCATATTTCTGGCATGTTCTTTTTGGAATTTCATCATGAGCTTCCACAGCTTTACAGGAAAAAAGCACCCAGTGAATCTGCCTTTTTAAAATGGTGAATTCCATGCCCTGACTCACATCTTACTTCTAACCCTTCAGCGATAGCTCAGCGCAGGTCCATCCTGGCATTATCTGTGGATTCCTCACAGCTGCCACCTCATACCAAGGTATTTGTTGTGGCTCAAAGTGATGGCAATTAGCTGGGGGTGGTGGCTCATGCCTGTAATCCCAGCACTTTGGGAGGCAAAAGCGGGTGGATTATTTGAGTTCAGGAGTTCAAGATAAGCCTGACCAACATCGTGAAACCCTGTCTCTACTAAAAATACAAAAATTAGCTGGGTGTGGTGGCACATGCCTGTAATCCCTGCTACTCGAGAGGCTGAAGCAGCAGAATCTCTTGAACCCAGGAGGTTACAGCAAGACAAGATCATGCCATTGCATTGCAGCCCGGCTGACAAAGCAAGACTCTGTCTCAACAACAAAAATAAAAATTACCGAGGAAGAAATGACCCCCACCACACTGAGATTGAAATCCACTCTCTTAGCGAGGATCCGGAAGACCCCATATGGTGGGCTCTGCCTATCTGTTTACCCTCCTGTCCTGCTCTCGCTCCTTGGCTTTCTATAGTCAGCTCCTAAAACCCGCTGTACTTCATGCCCCACCCCAGCAGGGCCTGTCCCTGAGGGCTCTGCCTTCTGCCTGAGCAGCTTTTCCTGGAGCTGTTTGTGAGGCTCATCCTTAATCTCTGAGCTCAGTGGTTGCCCCTTATTTGCTGTCTCTACCTCGCTTACTTCCCGAGAGCAAGATTGCAATCTGTCCTTCCTAATTATGTGTCTGCTGGCTCGCTGCCCATCTCCACAGCTAACCTCTGCAAGGGCAGCACCTTTACAGAGCACCTTGTATTACAGGCGTGAGCCACCTCGCCCTGCCACTTTTTTTTTTTTTTTTTTCTTTAAGATAGAGTCTTGCTCTGTCACCCAGGCTAGAGTGCAGTGGCGGGATCTTGGCTCACTGCAACCTCTGCCTCCCGGGTTCAAGCAATTCTCTGCCTCAGCCTCCTGAGCAGCTGGGACTACAGGCATGTGCCACCACACCCAGCTAATTTTTGTTTTTTTAGTAGAGATGGGGTTTCACCATCTTGGCCAGGCTGGTCTTGAACTCCTGACCTCATGATCCACCCGCCTCGGACTCCCTAAGTGCTGGGATTAGAGGCGTGAACCACTGTGCCCAGCCACCACCACTTGTTTTTGAGACCAAGTCTCACTCTGTTGCCCAGACTGGAGTGCAGTGGTATGATCTCAGCTCACTGCAACCTCTGCCTTCCTTCTCGGTTCAAGCAATTCTCCCGCCTTAGCTACCCAGTAACTGTGATTACAGGTGTGCACCACTAAATTTTGTATTTTTAGTAGAGATGGGGTTTCGCCATGTTGCCCTGGCTGGTCTTGAATTCCGGACCTCAAGTGATCCACCCACCTTGGCCTCCCCAAGTGCTGGGATTATAGGTGTGAGCCACTGCACCCAACCAATTGCTACTACTTTGAGCCACAATAAATACCTTGGTGTAGGACTTTTTGTATGTGTATTTTTTTTTTTCTCACTCTGTCGCCCAGGCTGGAGTGCAGTGGTGCCATCTCAGCTCACTGCAACCTCTGCCTCCCAAGTTCAAGCCATTCTCCAGCCTCAGCCTCCCAAGTAGCTGGAATTACAGGTGTGTACCACCAAGCCAGCTAATTTTTTGTATTATAGTAAGAGATGGGATTTCACCATGTTGGCCAGGATGGTCTCGATCACCTGACCTCGTGATCTGCCCACCTTGGCCTCTCAGAGTGCTGGGATTACACCATGCCTGGCCCCCATTGCATCTGTTTTTAATGGTTACTTAGTATGTCATCTCGTTGACTTTGCTCACCTCAAGGTGCCACCTTCTGGAGGGAACACAGCTTTGGAATCCAGTAAGCCCTGGTTCAGTCCTAGCACCACTGCTGGCCTGAGGCCTTGGGCGGATCACACAGCCTGGGGCAGCCGAGCTTCCTTCTCCTTAATGCCAGGGGAGCTAGAGCCTCCTGTGCTGCCTCCCCAGATCCTGGAATCGGTACTCTCCTTCTCCCTCCCTCCCTCATGGTGGGGCAGTTTCTGAGCATTTTGTGGTCAGTATAAGGGGTAGAACCTCTGCCAGAAGCGGGTTCAAGGCCTGGTTGTGCTCTCCTGAGCACATGACTTCACCACCCCGAGCTTCAGTTTTTTTCCTATCTCCAGTGGAAATCTAAAAATTTCTGTCTTCCTCAAGGACCGGCAGGAGGAGATGAGGACTTGTGGGTATTGTACCTGGGTGCCCTGGCCTGGCAGGGCGAGGGGTACAGGAGTCGTCACTGTGGTCTGTATGTGGGTTCTCGTGTCACCTCTTCCTCTTTCTTAGGTCTTAAATGTGGAAAGGAATCAACTGATGCAGCTCCCGCGTTCCATTGGGAACCTGACCCAGCTCCAGACTCTCAACGTTAAAGGTAGGAGCCAGGAAGCCATGTCCGTGTGACCCTCCGTCAGCTCTGGGCCGTCCACAGGCCGCCTCACCTGGGAGCCACTGAGCAGGAGGGCAGCCAGTCTCCAGGGGTTGCTGTAAGTGGACTGACCCCTGCTGGGTCAGCCATCTCCATGGTAACCAGAGACAGCCTGTCTGGAGGGTTCCTGTGACTCCTCAGGCCTGAGCCAGGGCCTTACAGGGAAGCGGGTAGCTGGGCCCTGAGCCTCGGTCACTCGGATTTATAATGGTGAGTGTAGTGGACTGATGGGCGAGAGCTCCCAAGGAGCCGCAGTAAGATTCTGAGCGGCGCTTCTACCTCCAGCGACGCGCCGAGCCTCCCGAGAAGTCCACAGGGCAGGCTGAGGGCCGTGGTGCCATCCCCAGTTTACACATAAGGAAAACAAGGCCTGGGAAAGCGAGTGTGACTTGCTCAAGACCACCCAGTGAGATGGTGACAGAGCCAAGACCATATGAGTAATGATAACAGTGGCACCCCATTGCTTGGTCATTACAGTGGAGGGGCCCCGTGCAGAGGACCTCACACATCATCTCCCTGAACCTCCAGTCTCCCTGTGTTCTTATGAGGCTGGGTCGTAGTGTCATCCCCATTTTCCAGATGAGAAAACCAGCCCAGGGAGGCCAAGTCAGTTATCTAAAGCCTCTTGGCTAGTGATTGGTGGAGTGAGGACTTGAACTGGAACACCACCTTGATCCTATGAAACCTCAGGGTCTGGGACCCAGAGGTCACAGTGGCTTCCAGCAGGCATCAGGCTGGAAGCTGGTGATGGGGCTTTGGGATGTTGAGCTGTGCTATTGGGGTCTCTGCAGACAATAAGCTGAAGGAGCTTCCAGACACCCTGGGGGAGCTTCGAAGCCTGCGTACCCTCAACATCAGTGGAAACGAGATCCAGAGGTTGCCGAAGATGCTGGCTCATGTTCGAACCCTGGAGGTAAGTGGGAAGCTGCTTTTGCCTGGGGTGCTCTCTGGCCTGCCCACCTCCCCTCTCTCACATTCCTGCATGTCTGCCCTGATCTCAGGGTGCCAGGGTCACACAGATCCTAAGGCATGGTCCTTGGAAGCTCTTAGAGAGGCTGATGTGTGAACATTCGTAATTATGTGACTTTTGCTGCCATAAAAGAGGCAGAAAAACCTACTTTAAGAGTGAAGAAGAATGAATGCTGAACCTAGACGAGGTTGACACTTTAAGGAAGTTGTCAGTGGGGAACAACACACTGAGGCCTGTCAGAGGTGGGCTGAGGGGAGGGAGAGCATCAGGAAGAATAACTAATGGATTCTGGGCTTGTTACCTAGGTAATGGGATGATCTGTGCAGCAAAGCACCATGGTACACATTTGCCTTTGTAACAAACCTGCACATCCTGCACATGTACCCCCTCAACTTAAAATACAAGTTGAAGGAGAAAAAAGTAAAAAATAAAAAGTTGTGGTATTCAAGCCAGACCTTAATGGAGGAATAAGATTTCTGGGCCAGGTGCAGTGGCTCATGCTTGTAATCCCAGCACTTTAGGAGGCCAAGCCAGGTGGATCACTTGAGGTTAGGAGTTCAAGACCAGCCTGGCCAACATGGTGAAACCCTGTCTCTACTTAAAAATACAAAAGATTATCCAAGTGTGGTGGTGCACACCTGTAATCCCAGGTACTTGGGGGAGGCTGAATCACTTGAACCCAGGAGGCAGAGGTTACATGAACCAAGATCATGCCATTGCACTCCAGCTTGAGTGCAATGAACATGAACACAGGAGAATCACTTGAACCCAGGAGGCAGAGGTTACATGAGCCAAGATCATGCCATTGCACTCCAGCTTGAGCAACATAACAAAGCTTTGTCTCAAACAAAAAAAAAAAAAAAGAAGATTCTGGTTGGGTGTGGTGGCTCATGCCTATAATCCCAGCACTTTGGGAGGCTGAGGCAGGAGGATCACCTGAGGTCAAGAGTTCAAGACCAGCCTAGCCAACATGGTGAAACCCCATCTCTATAAAAATACAAAAATTAGGTGGGCCTGATGACAGGTGCCCGTAGTCCCAGCTACTTGGGAGGTAGAGGCAGAAGAATTGCTTGAACCTGGGAGGCAGAGGTTGCAGTGAGCCGAGATCACACCATTGCATTCCAGCCTGGGTGACAGAGTGAGACTCCGTCTCAAAAAAAAAAAAAAAAAAAAGATTCTGAGTAGACCTGGATAACAGAGGCAGCCCAGGTACAGCAGGCAGCTGGTGGGGAAGCACAGGCTGTAAGCTGCTGAGCCTGCATGATATGGGGCCCAGAAAGCTGGGAGGGAGAGAAGGGGGAGGGAGAGAGCCGCTGGGATGGAGGCTCAGAAGTACCCAGGTCAGGGCAGTTCTGCAGGCCAGAAGTGCAAGATCAAGATGTTGACAGGGCTGGTTATTTTCGAGGCCTCTCTCCTTGGCTCATAGGCGCTGTCTTCCCTGCATACATGTCCATGTCCAGATTTCCTCCTCTTAGAAGGACATCAGTCATATTGGATTAGGGCCCAGCCTAATGACCTCCTTTTAACTTAATTACCTCCTTAAAGACCCTGTCTCCACATACAGTCACATTCTGAGGGACGGGAGTTGTGGGGGTGGACAGGGGTTACAGGAAGTGGATAGGAGTATGGGGCGCTTTAGGATTTCCACATATGAACTGGGGAGGGAGACACAGGTCAGCCCATGACAGGCACTGACAGGGGCAGCTGCTCAGGGAAGGTGGCTCTCACGCTCATGCTGAGGAGGTGGCTCACATTTATCTGTTGCTTTCTAAGGCTGGCATGACCTGGAATCACTCCCTGAATCCTCACAGAAGTCTTGTGAGGCAAATACCGTTGTGCCACTTTGTAGATGAAGAAACTGAGGCACAGGCAGTTTAAGAAATTTGCCCAAGGGCCACGCAGTCAGTGATAGCAAAGATGGTTGTAACCAGACCGTCTGAAGCTGATGCCTGTGCTCCCTGCCCCTGGGCCCCTCGGCATCTGGAACAGGGACTTCTCCATTTATGATGACATGCAGTCTGGCCAGCGTTCCAGAGTGGCCTGGAGTAGACCCCTCTCTCAGCCAGCCCAGCCTGCCAAGCAGAGGCATCTGTGTCGGAGCGGGCAGGTGAGCACGGACAGCAGAGGAAGGGCTGACCTCAGCAGCCGGGGCCTCCTGCCTGAGGAAGGGCCGGCTGGGGAGACAGGCCAACACACTTGTCCTCTCTGCTGCCCACTGGAACTCTGCAATGATGGAAATGTTCAGTGACTGTGCTGTCCAGAGCAGCCACTAGCCATGTGTACCTATGGGGCACCTGGAACGTGGCTGTGTTTTCAGCCAGGAACTGAAAGTTTGATTTCATTGAATTTTAACTAATTTACATTTAAATAGCCATGGGTCCTTAGTGGCTACCATTTTAGACAACACAGCTCAGAGCACATGTTCCCAATCCTGAAACCATCCTCAAACATCTAGTGCAAGCTCTGGACACTTCAATCTTTTTTTAATTTAAACTCTTTTTTAAAATTATTATTATTTTTTTTAAGACAAGGTTTCACCATGTTGGTCAGGCTGGTCTTGAACTCCCGACCTCAGGTGATCCGCCCGCCTTGGCCTCTAAAGTGCTTGGATTACAGGCGTGAGCCACCGCACCCAGCCTCAATCTTTTTTTTTCCTTTGAGACCGGGTCTTATGCTGTCACCCAGGCTGGAGTACAGTGACGCAATCATAGCTCACTGCAGCCTCAAACTCCTGGGCTTAAGAGATCCTCCTCCTCAGCCTCCCAAGAAACCAGGAACACAGGTGTGCCCCACCACACTTGGCTAATTTTTTTTTTTTTTTGTAGAGATGAGGTCCACTGTGTTGCCCAGGCTGGTCTCAATATTGGGCTCAAGCAATCGTCCCACCTTGGCCTCCTAAGTAGGTGGAATTACAGGCGTGAGCCACCACTCCCAACCTGGACACTTCATTTTATTTCGATTCCTTTAAAAAATAAATCTTTTGAGTTTCTTGGTGACACCTCAGACAAACCTTTTTTTTTTTTTTTTTGAGAAGGACTCTTGCTCTGTCTTCAGGCTGGAGTATAGTGGCACAATCTCTGCTCACTGCAACCTCCCACTCCCTGGTTCAAGCGATTCTCCTGCCTTAGCCTCCTGAGTAGCTGGGATTACAGGCACGCGCCACCACGTCCAGCTAACTTTTTTGTATTTTTAGTAGAAATGGGGTTTCACCATATGGGCTAGGATGGTCTCAATCTCCTGACCTCATGATCCGCCCACCTCGGCCTCCCAAAGTTCTGGGATTATAGGCATAAGCCACCACTCCCGGCCCAAACAAACCTTCTTTTAGGATGAGAGAACCATTCTGAGCTCAGGCTGTCCTGTGGGCAGGGTCTTCTTGAGATATCACACATGTCACCCACCCAACAGCACACCAGGATGGTAACATTGCCTGTTTGGCTATGAGGGGACCGCAGCCCCATGACACTAAGAGGCCCGCATGCAATGGCCGGATCTGAAGCCAGGGTGGTGTCTTTGGCACAGCAATGTCCAGTCGCTGCTCCTGATGCCCACGATGAGAATGCTGTATGATCTGTGCAGCCAACACGGCCACCCCCGCCACTTGTCGCTGCTGGGCCCTTGAAATGTGGTGACTGCAACCAGCCATGGACCCAAACTTTAAATCTGATTTATTTTCAGTTAATTAAAATGTAACCATAAATGGCCACACATGGCTTGTAGCCAGCATCTGTGCTGTGGAATAGCCCAGAGTCCATGCCCTTAAGTCACCACGTTTTACTGATGGTGACTAAGCACCCATGTGGGGTTCATTTTGCTCCAGATTGGGTGTCCAGCATGGGGTCTTCTGCTGTCGGGCCCTCAGCATCTGCGCAGTGAGTTCCTCTTCCCTGGGGTGGTCTCCCTCTCTGCTGTGCAGGGCGTGTTCACTCAGCGCCCACTGTGCGAGGGCTGTGCTGGCCAGGGTTCAGGGGCTGGAGCCGCCTTTCCCACCCAGCCACTTGTGCTACCGCAGAATCAGAGCTTCCCAGGCCTTCCCCTTTTCCAGGACTCCCCTGACACCCAGGCATAGAGGATATCCGTGCCTGCCCACACTCGGTGAGATCAGAGGTTGGCACGGGAAGACTGGGTCCAACGTAACTCAACCACAGAGGGGGCAGTTCTGTGGGTGTGAGCTTAGGCCCCTGCGTCCTGGGCTTCATAAACTTGGAGGCATCTGCATGTGTGTGCCGACAAACTTTTGTCATTACATAATTAAAAAAAAATAAATAAATTGTAAAAAAAAATAAATAAATTGTATATTGTAAAAAAAAAAAATATATATATATATATATATATACACACACAAATATTAAAAAACATTTTGTTCAGGCACGGTGGCTCAAGCTTGTAATCCTAGCAGTTTGGGAGGACGAGGTGGGTGGATTACGAGGTAGGAGGACGAGGTGAGGTCAGGAGTTTGAGACCAGCCTGGGCAACATGATAAAACCCCATCTCTACTAAAAATACAAAAAATAGCTGGGCGTGGTGGCATGTGCCTGTAGTCCCAGCTACTTGGGAGGCTGAGGCAGAGGATTTGCTTGAACCTGGGAGGCGGAGGTTGCAGTGAGCTGAGATCACACCCCTGCACTCCAGCCTGGCCCACAGAGCAAGACTCCATCTCAAAAAAAATAAATACATTTAATGTAGATAGTAACTCAGAATATCCTTTTAGAGGAAACTATTTTGAGTTTGATACATATTCCTCCAAATTTTTTTCTATAAAATACTAATGCGAAAGTATATGAATATATCATCTAGCAAAGGAAAAAGGAAGAATCATGTTCTTTTTTTTTTAAATAGAAAAAAGTTAAAAAAAAAGAAAAAAAAATTTCAAAAAAAGTGGGGCGTCTCACTACATTGCTCAGGCTGGTCTTGAACTCCTGGGCTGAAGTGATCCTCCCACCTTTCCCTCCCAAAAGTGCTGGGATTACAGGCATGAGCCACCACACTCAGCCAGTGGAATCATGTTCTGTATGCTCTCCTATAATTTCCTTCTTTACACTCACTTATGTATTTATCCAAAGTAAATTGAGATGCGTGGTGTATGACTCACACCTGTAATTCCAGCACTTTGGGAGGCAGGTGAATTGCTTGAGCCCAGGACTTTGAGACCAGCCTGGGCAACATAGCAGGACCTTATCTCTACAAAAAAATTAAAAAATTAGCCAGGCATGGTAGCATGTGCCTGAAGTTCCAGCTACTTGGGAGGCTGAGGTGGGAGGATCGCTTAAACCTGGGGAGGTCAAGGCTGCAGTGGTCGAGCCAGCCTGGATGATGGGAGTGAGACCCTGTCTCCAAAAAATTTTAAGAAAAGTGACCTGAGTGTTTGCTGCCTGCCTGCAGCCATCCCAGGTACTGGAAACGCTGCTGCCGTGCCTGCTGGGTAGAGAAGACAGACAACACACAAATTGATAAGGAAATCAGGTAGTCTCTGGTTGTGCTGGTAATGAAGTAAACTGTACAGTAAAGCGGTTTTCCCTTGTGTCTGCAGATGCTGAGCCTCGACGCCTCCACCATGGTCTTCCCGCCGCCAGAGGTGTGTGGCGCCGGCACCGCGGCCATCCTGCAGTTCCTCTGCAAAGGTAAAGCCAGGCCATTGCCTCCTCCCCACACTGAGGAACCATGACCCCATGGCCATCCCAACCCAGGCTAGGGGGCGGCAGAGACAGAAATGGTCATAGTGCCTATCTGCTTGGAGTTCGAGGTCTGGCAAGAAAAACAGGCAAAACAAATGATTACACGGGAAAACAGTTACAGACTGGTTATGAGAGGGCAGTGGTGTGGCTGATGTAGGTTGGAGCCACAGGGAAGGCCTGTCTGAGAGTATGGCTCTGCTGACATGGAGGCGTGGTTAGGACTTAGAAAAGGCAGAAGGCAGTTCGACCAGGAGGTGCGTATGGATGGGCCTTGATGGGAAGTTTGACAGAGAGAGGGCCAGTGTAGCTGGAGTGAGGAAGCAGAGAGAAGAGAGACGGGGGAAGCCAGAGACAGTGCCCAGGCCCAGTGTCCGGGGGGAGAGCATGTGATCAGTCATTAGGCTGCAGGGAGGAGAAGGGGTTGGAGGAGGAAAGAGTGCAGGACAGGATAGGGGACCAGTTAGGGGCCATCGGGGTCAGCCAGGAGAGAGACGCACAGCAGGAGGAGCTAAAACCCGGAGCCAGCACTGGCCGGAGGTGAGGAGGAGAGCAGGATGCCCTGTCAGGCTGGAAGTTCTTTTTTTTTTTTTTTTCCCATGTACGGGAACAGTATGTTTATTAAGTCTAGGAGAAAAGATAATTCACTGACATGAAACACCCAAATTTCTTCATTTTAAAAGTAGTTTATAGATAGCATCAAGTAGACTAAACAACTATACTGGGCCCATGTAAAGATTAGGGGTGGGTCTATTAAATACATCATTTCTTGCTGGAACCAGCTTCCCTGCAAGCTCAGTAGGTTCTGGAGCTCATTTACCACATCGCTCGCTGGACCCCAGAAAGTTGTCCGTGGTCTGCTAAGTGACGGAAGAAGATACGACTAAGCCTCCAGCGCCGCTTCACACCACGCGGACAGGACGTCATAACACACCGATTTCTGATTCTAACAGGACAGCTATCCCGGGGGAAGGCAGCAATTTCTTCATCACCCACGTCCTGTAAAAGTTTTGGCAAAATGGTATTCTTCCTGAGTGAATTAACATGTAGCCTCTCATCTGCGTATTCATAGGCCATTTTTCATCTCTTCACATCACGCCACATTCTCCAGTCTACATAGTAACCTCGAACTTGGCCTGAAGCTGATGAAGGAACCATCTGCTTGAACGTCCGCAGCACCCAGCCCAGCAAGGAGGCCGCCATGTTGTCCCAGGCTGGAAGTTCTTAGCGGTTCAGGGCACCTATGGGACTTTCAGAACGCAGCCAAGACACACATGCCTATGGTGACCTGACTTATTGTGGCCATTGCAAAGCCGTGGGAAGGATAGTCTTTTCAATAGCTGATTCTGGATCAATTGGATGTCCCTGTGGGAAAAAATGAACTTTAACCTATTCTTTAAACAGGAGACAGGCAATAGTCATCATAAAAGATTGGTACATTAGATTTAATTAAGGCCAGACATGGTAGCTTGCACCTGTAATTCCAGCACTTTGAGAGGCCAAGGCAGGAGGATCTCTTGAGCCCAGGAGTTTGAGACCAGCCTAGGAAACATGGTGAAGCCCTGTCTCTACAAAAAATACAAAAATTAGCCAGGCGTGGTGGCATGTACCTGTGTTCCCAGCTATTTGAGAGGCTGAGGTGGAAGGATCGTTTCATCCTGAGCTGTGATCATGCCACTGCACTCCAGCCTGGAGCAAGACTCCAACAAAGCGATATCCTATCTCAAAAAATAAATAAATAAAAGGTTTAATTAAAATCAAAATTTCTTAGCTGTACATGGTGGCTCACCCCTGTAATCCCAGCACTTTGGGAGGCAGAGGTAGGTGGATCACCAGGTCAAGAGATTGAGAACATCCTGGCTGACATGGGTAAACCTCATCGCTACTAAAAATACAAAAATTAGCTGGGCATGGTGATATGCACCGGTAGCCCCAGCTACTCAGGAGGCTGAGGCAGGAGAATCACTTAAGCCCAGGAGGTGCAGGTTGCAGTGAGCTGAGATCGCGCCTCTACACTCCAACCTGGCAACAGAATGAGACTCCATCTCAAAAAAAAAAAAAAAAAATCAAAATTTCTCTGTCTCAAAAGATACCATTTAGGAAAAGAAAAGAAAAGCCATAAAGTTCAAGATGATATTTATAATACATATATATCCAACAGAGGACTGGTGTCTGGACTATAAACAGAAATCCTGCAGATCCATGAGGAAAGGACATTAGTAAAAGACTTGACTGAGAATTTTACAGAAGAGAATATCCACACAGTGGCTCACACCTATAATCTCAGCACTTTGGGAGGCTGAGGTGGGCAGATCATGAGCTCAGGAGTTTCAGACCAGCCTGGTCAACATGGTAAAACCCTGTCTCTACTAAAAATACAAAAATTGGCCAGGCGCGGTGGCTCAAGCCTGTAATCCCAGCACTTTGGGAGGCCGAGGTGGATGGATCATGAGGTCAAGAGATCGAGACCATCCTGGTAAACATGGCGAAACCCCATCTCTACTAAAAATCCAAAAAAAATTAGCTGGGCATGGTGGCATGTGCCTGTAATCCCAGCTACTCAGGAGGCTGAGGCAGGAGAATTGCCTGAACCCAGGAGGTGGAGGTTGCGGTGAGCCGAGATCGCGCCATTGCACTCCAGCCTGGGTAACAAGAGCGAAACTCCGTCTCAAAAAAAAAAAAAAAATAGAAAAATTAACTGGGCATGGTGGCAGGCACCTGTAATCCCAGCTACTCAGGAGGCTGAGGCAGGAGAATCACTTGAACCGGGAGGCAGAGGTTGCAGTGAGCTGAGATTGTGCTACTGCACTCCAGTCTGGGTGACAGAGCAAAACTCCATCTCAAAAAAAGGAGACAATATCCATCTCAAAAAAAAGAGACAATATCCAGATAACTAACAGTATCTGAAAAAGTGCTCGACATCATCTTAGTCAATGGGAAAATGCAAATTAAAACTACAAAGAAATACTTCGACATACCCACTAAAATGGCCGAAAGTTTTCAATGGAAAAAAAAAAAAAACAAACTCCCTGCTGACAAGTCAACCAGAAATAAAAAACAAAAAATAAAATGGCCAAAACTGAACCGTCGATACCAAGAATTAGCAAAGTTGTGGGAGCAACAGGAACTTCTGTATACTGTGGGTGGGAGTATAAATTGAAAATTATCTTAAAAAGTACTCTCAATATCTACTCAAGCTGAACATTCAAATATCCTATGGCCCATGAGTTCCATTCCTAACTACATGCCTGTATTAGTTTGTTCTCATACTGCTCTATTAAGAAATTACCAATTTTTTTTTTTTTTTTTGAGACAGAGTCTTGCTCTTTCACCCAGGCTAGAGTCAGCCGAGGCTCACTGCAACCTCCGCCTCCTGGGTTCAAGCGATTCTCCTGCCTCAGCCTGCTGAGTAACTGGGATTACAGGCGTCTGCCACTATGCCTGGCTAATTTTTGTATTTTTAGTAGAGATGGGTTTCACTATATTAGTCAGGCTGCTCTTGAATTCCTGACCTCAGGTGATCCACCTGCCTCGGCCTCCCAAAGTGCTGGGATTACAGGTGTGAGCCACCGGTCCTGTAAAATTCCCAATTTCTATGAAGAAGTTCTTTATAAAGAAAAGAGGTTTAATTGGCTCACAGTTTTACATGGCTGGGAGGCCTCAGGAAACTTACAATCGTGGTGGAAGGCACCTCTTTGTAGGTCAGCAGGAGAGAAAATGAGAGCCAAATGAAGGGGGAAGCCCCTTACAAAACCATCAGATCTTGTGAGAACTCACCCACCACCATGAGAACAGCATGGGGGAACCACCCCCGTGATATGATTACCTCCCATGAGGTCCCACCCCCAAGATGTGGGGATTACAGTTCCAGATGAGATTTAGGTGGGGACACAGAGCCAGACCATATCAATGCCCAACAGAAATGCATATGAATAAATGCCAAAAGCCACGTGCAAAAGTGTTCATAGCAGCACTATTTATATCAGTCCAAAGTGGAAACAGCTCTAATGTCCATCAGGAGTAGAATGGATAACCAAACTGTTTTATACTCATTTGTGGATACCACACAGCATCTGGAAAGAATGAACCATTGCTCCTTGCAACAACCTGGGTGAATCTCACAACGTGGAGTGCGAGGAGCCAGACACAAAGGAATATGTGCTCCTATCATTCACCACAGAGCTCTGAACCAGCACTGGTTCCTGGTCATGAGCATGTGTTCACCTTTAAACATTCATCTGTGCCTGCAGATTCTGTGCTCTTGGCTGGCCCAAAGGCAGTGAGTTACCTCAGTTGATTACGCATAGTCAGTTACAGATTGAAGTCCTTGTTCTACTTTTTCCCCATGGCTCACTGCTGCACTTGACTAACTTTAAAAAAGAGATTTTGGCCGGGCGCGGTGGCTCAAGCCTGTAATCCCAGCACTCTGGGAGGCCGTGGTGGGTGGATCACGAGGTCGAGAGATCGAGACCATCTGGTCAACATGGTGAAACCCCGTCTCTACTAAAAATACAAAAAATTAGCTGGGCATGGTGGCGCGTGCCTGTAATCCCAGCTACTCAGGAGGCTGAGGCAGGAGAATTGCCTGAGCCCAGGAGGCGGAGGTTGCCGTGAGCCGAGATCGCGCCATTGCACTCCAGCCTGGGTAACAAGAGCGAAACTCCGTCTCAAAAAAACAAAAAAAAAAGAGAGAGATTTTATGCTCTTTTCTGTATGTATGTTATATTTTAATTTAAGAGAAAGTGGTGGGGGGCGGCTACAATCATAGCCACCAGGCCACACATCTGCAAATTAGAGTCTTCAAGCAACAGGTGATTCCAGAGTACACCCTGGCCAATGGCTAAGCTAGACCAAAGCCTTTATTTTCTTTAAAAAGATTTTGGGGCTGGACAAGGTGGCTCACGCCTGTAATCCCAACATTTTGGAAGGCCAAGGCAGGTGGATTGCTTGAGCCCAGGATTTAAACATGGGCAACATGGCAAAACCTCATCTCTACAGAAAATGCAAAATTAGCCCAGCATCGTGACACACGCCTGTAGTACCAGCTGCTCACGGGGCTTAGGTGGAAAGATCACTTGAGCCCAAGAGGCGGAGATTGCAGTGAGCCAAAATCTCGCCACTGCACTCCAGCCTGGGTGACAGACTGAGACCTTGTGTTTAAAAAAAAAAAAAAAAAAATTTTGGCCAGTGCAGTGACTGATGCCTGTAATCCCAGCACTTTGGGAGGCCAAGGCAGGTGGATCACCTGAGATCAACAGTACAATACCATCCTGGCCAACATGGTGAAACCCTGTCTCTACTAAAAATACAAAAATTAGCTGGGCATGGTGGTGGGATCTGTAATCCCAACTACTATGGACACCGTGGCAGCTTGAACTCAGGAGGCAGAGGTTGCAGTGAACTGAAGTTGCACCACTGCACTCCAGCCTGGGCAACAGAGCAAAACTCCATCTCAAAAAAAAAAAAAAGAAAGAAAGAAATTAAAAAGAAGAAAAAATTTCTCTTTGTTTGGACCCAGGTTTCATTTCTTATCTCAGCCTTTTTCATCACCTCATTCTCACTTGGATGGTAAAGAGGTAGAAGGCATACATGGCACTCATTGACTCACTCCACTGACATTTACTGAGCACCTACTACATTCCAGGCCCGGGGCTAGGACTGGTGAAAAACATGGGGCGCCCAGGCTAGGGAAGAGGAGAGCAGTGGCTGAGTCGGGGTGGGGCTGGCTGCCCCAGCGGTAGGAGGAAGTGTATCCAGGTACCTCGGCTGTCTCCTCCCTCCTGGTCAGCTTGTGTCCCATCTCTTACAGAGTCAGGGTTAGAATACTACCCTCCTTCTCAGTACCTGCTGCCAGTTCTGGAGCAAGATGGAACCAACTCTCGGGACAGCCCTGATGGGCCCACGGACAGAGTCTCAAGGGAGGAAGTAGAGTGGCAGGTAAGACAAGCCAGCCTGCTGCACGCATGCACATGTGTGTGTGTGTGTGTGTGTGTGTGTTTGTGTGTTGAGGGAGCTGGGAATGGGAGGGGTTGGTTCAACGCTGTAGCTTCTGGATTCTTCCGTGGAACTAGAACTGGCCTCCCAATGAGCTGAACTACTTTTTCAAGGCCTGCTGTGGCGGCCTCACCCCACCAGCTTGCCAACCACAAGCTGTCCCCTGCTGCTCTGTTTCCTGAACTAACCACCATCCTTCCCTCATCAAGGCCTTTGAACAAGCTGCTCCCTCTGTCTGGAATATCCCCACTCACTTGTCTTATCCTCTTTTTTTTTTTTTTTCTTTATTTGAGACGGTCTCACTCTGTTGCCCAGGTTGGAGTGCAGTGGTGCGATCATTGCTCACTGCAGCCTCAACTTCCCAGGCTCAAGTGATCCTCCCGCCTCAGCCTCCCAAAGCGCTGGGATTATAGGTGTGAGTCACCATACTCAGCCTCCTTCAGTTCTCAGTTTAAACTTATATCCTCTGAGAAGCTCCAACCCAGGTCGGGTCTCCTGTTGTGTGTTCTCAGAGTGCCCTGCACAGTTCCTTGGTAGCACTCTTCACAGCACTAAATTGATGAAGAGCTGTACAGGAAATGATCTCATGTCTGTCTCCCCCTCATGAACCTTGGTAAAAGAATAAGGATTGTGTCTGTAATGTCCATTGTTATCTCTCAGCAAATACATCTGGACCAAATGCCACTCACTGTCCAGGACACCTCCCACCACCGCCCCCATGCTCTGGGTCTAGCGAAGGAGTCAGAAAGCCACATGTGTTAACACCAGTGACAGGCTGGCCCCATCAGGTCCTGGTGGTGAGCTAACACAGGATGACACAGGAGGCTCAAAGGGTTTGCCACGTTAGCCTGGGTGCACCCTCTGCCCCATCCCCAAGGCTCACGATCCAGGGTCCTCGGCTGGCTGGTAGATGGGGAGGCCATCACCAGGTGGGAGTGCCAGCTGCCGGACATTTGTCTTCATATCTTCCCATGACTCTTTCTTAATCTCTGGTTCCTAGACGCCACCCTTTCCCGTTTTCCACTGCTGCTGGGAATGCATTTGGGATTTTATTTATTTATTTATTTTTGACAGTTCAGCAAGAATTAGAGAGGAAGGAGAAGGCTGTGTGGGAAGTGGTGCCAGTTTATGTTCTCAGGAAATATTTGCAATACACACAAGTGCTAAAGGATTCATAGACTGAGCATAGGAAGAACTCTTTTTCAAATCAATAAGAAGAAAACCATCCCAGTAGAAAAAAATATTAGGAGGCCAAAGCAGGTGGATCACTTGGGGCCAGGAGTTTGAGACCAGCCTGGTCAACATAGCACAACCCTGTCTCTACTGAAAATGCAAAAGTTAGCCAGGCATGGTGACATGCATCTGTAATCCCAGCTACTCAGGGACTGAGGCACAAGAATCACTTGAACCCAAGAGGCAGAGGTTGCAGTGAGCTAAGATCGCGCCACTGCATTCCAGCCTGGGAGACAGAGCGAGACTCTGGCCAACACAGTGAAACCCCATCTCTACTAAAAAAAATGCTGTGCATGGTGGCGGGTACCTGTAGTCTAGCTACTTGGGAGGCTAAGGCCAGGCACGGTGGCTCACGCCTGTAATCCCAGCACTTTGAGAGGCCAAGGTGAGAGGATCATTTGAGGTCAGGAATTCATGACCAGCCTGGTCAACATGGTAAAACCCCGTCTCTACTAAAGATACAAAATTAGCCAGGCATGGTAGTGCATGCCAGCTACTTGGGAGGTTGAGGCAGGAGAATCACTTGAACCTGGGAGGCAGAGGTTGCAGTGCGCTGAGATCACACCACTGCACTCCAGCCTGGGAGACAGAGCAAGACTCCATCTCAAATTTAAAAAAAAATTTTTGGGGGGACATCTACTGTCAAGTTGTCCTCCAAAGTAGTGATATCAATTTTCACTCCCAAGAGCAGTTTGTGAGGGCACCTGTTTTCCCACACTCTGGCCAACAGAAATTGCCATGCCAAAATGTGTGCCAATCTCAGGAAGGAAATGGTATTTCATTGTCGTTTTAACTTACATACCTGTCTTCTGATTACCAGCAAAGTTGACATTTTTAAATGTTTTTTGGTTTTGTTTTGGTTTGGTTTGGTTTTGAGACAGAGTCTCAAAATAGTCTCACTCTATCGCCCCGGCTGGAGTGCAGTGGCACAATCTCAGCTCACTACAACCTCCATCTCTCAGGTTGAAGCAATTCTCCTGCCTTAGCCTCCTAAGTAGCTGGTACTACAGGCCCCTGCCACCATGACTGACTAATTTTTGTATTTTTTTAGTAGAGATGGGGTTTCACTGTATTGGCCAGGCTGATCTCAAACTCCTGACCTCAAGTGATCTGCCTGCCTCAGCCTCCCAAAGTGCTGGGATTACAGGCATGAGCCACCACACCTCGCCAGATTTGTTTTCTGTCTCGATTGTGTTTAGAGGTTACAGAATTCTGTACATATATAAAGATTCGTACAATTGTTCACTAACATTGGGTGAGTTATAGCACATAGATTATTCCTTGATTAAAAAATATGTTTATGTATGCACACACATACAAATATATTTCTTTCCCCAAGGCGCAAATTACATATGTACAGATGCATGGCTTTGGGCCTGATATTGATAGTTATGCCTGACAGGTGTGGGATGGGAGGGGAACCAGGGTCAGGCTGGAGTGGTCAGAGGTACTTTAGTTTTTTTTGTGCCATGTTTCAAACTTTTACAAAATGAATATATTCAGATGTTATCTGTATAATTGAAGATTAATTTTAAAATTATATTCCTACCATTGGCATAGGACAAATCCTATTTATAGGATGCTGCTTTTATAATTCAGAGACTGATCCTGTTCTCAGAGCAAGAAAACTAATAGAAGGACCATTCAAAAAGTTCTTGTATGCTGGGTTCAGTGGCTTATGCCTGTAATCCCAGCACTTTGGGAGGCTGAGTTGGGCGGATGCTTGAGCTCAGAAGTTCAAGACTATCCTGGGTAACATAGCAAGACCTTGATCTACCAAAAATACAGAAAATTAGCCAGGCATGGTGGTTCGCACCTGTAGTCTCAGCTACTTAGGAGGCTGAGGTGGGAGGATCACTAGAGCCCAGGAGGTCAAGGCTACAGTGAGCTGAGATCATGCCACTGTACTCCTGCATGGGTGACAGAGTGAGGCTCCATCTCAAAAAAAAAAAAAAAAATTAAAATAACTTGTGTATATTTATGTTTAATTACAGAAGTGATTCCTGCTCCTTGTTATAAATTTAAACAATATAGACAATTAAACCCTAAGTGAATATCAGCCTTCCTACCGTGCACTCCTGTTGCCTGGAGATAGTTATCATTGACTGATCAATGACTGTCCTTCCTTTAACTCAATACCTACACACATATGCTCAGAGTTGAGTTTTCTTGATGATGTTTTTGTAAAAGCAGAATCATGCTACACACAAGGGATCGCACGCATTTGCCCTGCTGACAGTTGTGTAATGGTCCACTGAATAGATGCACCATGACTTACAGACAGATGTTGATATGTTATTTCCCATGTTTTTGCTCTTTTGAATAATTCTGCAGGAAGTTGTACCGACATCTTTGTGCATTGTGAGTATTTTGGTGGACTGGAGCTGGGTGCTATAGGTGTGTTATGCAGACATCCATGGGCATCACATATCCCATTTCCTGCTCTGCTCTTGAGACTACCGTCCCTGCTCTGTGCTGGATCCCAGAACTGTCTTGAAGAGCTCGCTGTTACGGTGCCACACACACAGTGGCAGCCCAAGGGTTCTAACCAGCTGTCCACTGGAACCACCTGGTGCCCTTGATCAATACTGATCCCCTCATCCCCCCACCCCACCTTTCTGAGGCCGTGGTCTGGGATGGGCCAGAGTCTGTATAACGTCAGGCTGCCCGCAGTTCCTGGGGCCCATGCCAGTGAGAACCACTGCTGCCACCCTCTCTTGACCACTGTCTTTCTTCCCTCCCAGAACAGGTTCTCAGACTATGAGAAGAGGAAGGTAAGAAAATGCCTTTACCCTTCTGTCACTCTTTTCTCATTAAAGATCTCAACTCATAAAATATTTGAGAAAATGACTTCTTCCCAGCTCAGAATTAGAGGTCACAGTAATGCCTTCCTCCTACAAGCACAGTCTGCCACATCCTCACGTGCCTTCAGTGGGTGGTAGAGCATCCGTGTGACAGGCGCAGAGACTGAGGCTCAGAGGCATTGAGCCCAGCACAGGGCTGTAAACTACCAGCCTCTGACTGTGAACAGCTCATTTTATTTCAGTTGGGCCCTGGAAGGAGGGGAGTGGGGGTTGCTCAGCCTGAAGACCTGCAGCCTGCACCATCAGTGTTGAGGGGTTGATTCTGCCCACTTCTTTTTTTTTTTTTTTTTTTTTTTTTTGAGATGGAGTTTCTCTTTTGTTGCCCAGGCTGGAGTGCTGGAGTGCAGTGGTGCGATTTCAGCTCACTGCAACCTCCACCTCCCAGATTCAAGTGATTCTCCTGACTCAGCCGCCCAAGTAGCTGGGACTACAGGCATGCACCAGCATGCCTGGCTAATTTTGTGTTTTTAATAGAGACAGGGTTTCACCATGTTGGCCAGGATGGTTTCAAACCCCTGACCTCAGGTGATCACCCACCTCAGCCTTCCAAAGTACTAGGATTGCAGGTGTGAGTCACCGCACCCAGCCAATTCCCCCCACTTCCATGTCCTAACTCACCCAGGGCCTGTGCTGACAGTCACTAAGGATCTGTGTCTTGTAGGAACAGAAGATGCTGGAGAAACTCGAGTTTGAACGGCGCCTGGAACTGGGGCAGCGGGAGCATGCCCAGCTCCTTCAGCAGAGCAGCAGCCAGAAGGATGAGATCCTTCAGACGGTCAAGGAGGTTTGTGCGCCGCCTGCTGGGGCCCGGCCTGGCTGCATCCCCCAGCCAGTGGCCTCCTGTCTCTGGCCGAGGTCCCTGGGCTATGGAAAGGCAGTGGGATGAAGCTGTCACTTCCTTCCATCCCCCAGCACCTGGGATGGCCTTTACAGATCACCTAGCCCAGCCTCCCCATATGCACGTGGACACTCTGAGACTTGGTGGGAGGAGCTGGCCTAAGGTCACAGAGAAAGGACTGGCAAGGCAGGGTGGGAAAGCAGCCTCCTAACCCCAGTCAGTACCCCGTGGGGCGTCTGATGGGGTCCCAGGGGCTCAGGACCCCTGCCCCCTGCTGTAGGAGCAGTTCCGACTGGAGAAAGGCCTGAGTGAGCGCCAGCGCCACCTCGACGCAGAGCGGCAGAGGCTGCAGGAGCAGCTGAAGCAGACAGAGCAGAGCATCTCCAGCCGGATCCAGAAGCTGCTGCAGGAGAATCAGAGGTCGGGCTCTGGTCCTCAGCCCCACCCCAGAGTTTTCCCCCTCCCCACCCCTACAGTCCCCTGAGGAGCGGGAGGAGCGCGTTTCTCCCTCACCACCTCTGCTCCTGCCCCAGGCCTACCCCGGTCAGGATCCAGTCTGGGTACTTCAGTTGGCACCAGTGTACAGAGAAAAGCATCTGACACAGGCGTTACAAAGTCTGGTTTCTTGTCATGAAACTGCTATAGACTGGACCTGTGGCCTCGGGCAAGTGTTTCCCCACTGGGCCCCAAGCTTCCCATCTATTAAGTGAGTGGGTTTGACAAGATAGCTGGGATCACATCCTGCTCCAATATTTTGGCTTCTACATAACCTGTTTGCACTGAGGTCAGCTATTTACCTATAGTGAGATTTGCCTTAACAAACCCTGTGCAAGGTAGGAGCTACTAAGAGCAGATCTTGATGGGGCTGGGGAGAAGTGGCGCCAGAGAGATCTCAAGACACCTGAGAAGTCTAGGGAAGGGGTCTATTGCAAGAAGATTCCAGAAACAGGCTCTAGCCACATGCCTTGCTACTTCCAGGCCTCCTTTTTCTAACCTTGAATCACTTGTTCTTCCATCACCTGTCAGTTTCCAAGTACCTTCGTGAGTTCAGGAAACTGGTCACTTGTTGGGTGCTTCTTTTTTTTTTTTTTTTTTTTTTTTTTTTTCTGAGGCGGAGTTTTGCTCTTGTTACCCAGGCTGGAGTGCAATGGCGCGATCTCGGCTCACCGCAACCTCTGCCTCCTGGGTTCAGGCAATTCTCCTGCCTCAGCCTCCTGAGTAGCTGGGATTACAGGCACGTGCCACCATGCCCAGCTAATTTTTTTTTGTATTTTTAGTAGAGACGGGGTTTCACCACGTTGACCAGGATGGTCTCGATCTCTTGACCTCGTGATCCACCCGCCTCAGCCTCCCAAAGTGCTGGGATTATAGGCTTGAGCCACCGCGCCCAGCCGTTGGGTACTTCTTATATGCCAAGCTCGTTACGTCTGTTTCCTCATTTGCTCTTTACGAATGCACCAGGAAGCTGGGTTGGTTTTGCTTTGCTTTGCTTTGCTTTGCTTAAGACAGAGTCTTAAGCTTAAGACAGAGACAGAGTCTCTGTCACCTAGGCTGGAGTGTAGTGGTGTAATCTTGGCTCGCGGCAACCTCCGCCTCCCGGGTTCAAGTAATTCTCTTGCCTCAGACTCCCGAGGAGCTGGGACTACAGGCTTGTGCCACCACGCCTGGCTAATGTTTGTAGAGACAGGATTTATCCATGTTGACCAGGCTGGTCTCGACCCCCGGCCTTAAGTGATCCATCCGCTTCAGCCTCCCAAAGTGACAAGATTACGGGTTTAAGCCACCATGCCTAGCTGAGTTTTTTTATTCTTCTAATTTCATAGGTGAGGAAACGTGGGACTTGAGTGGTTTCAGCAACTGGCTAAGAACCCAGAGCTCCTAGGTGGTGGAGCTAAGGTGCCCGCTGCCCAGTTCCGAAGCTCCTCTGCACAGCTAGCACGGTGATGCTGGAAACAGGCCTGCTTGTGACTGCTGGGACCTTTTTTGATTTTCTCCACAGACAAAAGAAGAGTTCCGAGATTTTGAAATCGCTGGAAAATGAAAGGTAAATGTTCTTTCAGGGGAGGGCAGCTTTGTGGAAAGAGAGTGTCTTGTGATTCTCCAGAGAATTATGCCAGGATGTTTCCCTAAAGCTATAAGGAGTTTCATTTCCTTAGAGGATGTTTAATCACAAAGAATCATTGCCTTTAAGTTTGTTAAAACATATGTATACTCCTGAGAAACACTCAGACATGAATAAGGCTACATATATAACATCGAACTCTATTCCTAGTATAAAAAGTTCAGGCCAGGCATGGTGGCTCACGCCAGTAATCCCAACGCTTTGGGAGACCAAGGTGGGTGGATCACTTGAGGTCAAGAGTTGGAGACCAGCCTGGCCAACATGGCAAAACCCTGTCTCTACTGAAAATCAAAACTTAGCCAGGAGTGGTGGCAGGGACCTTTGGTTCCAGCTACAAAAAAAAAAAAAAATCAGAAAACCACATTTCTGGGAAAATTATTTAGTTACATAAATTATGTACAGAGGAATAACTTGCAGCCACTAAATGTCTTATTGAATACTATTCCTCATGAAGAGAAAACAATGTATCTTTTTTTTTTTTTGAAACAGAGTCTCACTCTGTTGCCCAGGCTAGAGTGCAGTGGTGCAATCTCGGCTCACTGCAACCTCCACCTCCCAGATTCAAGTGATTGTCCTGCCTCAGCATCCAGAGTAGCTGGGACTACAGGCACACTGATTTTTGTATTTTTAGTAGAGACAGGGTTTCACCATGTTGGCCAGGCTTGTCTCAAACTCCTAACCTCAATGATGCCCCCCACCTCGGCCTCCCAAAGTGCTGGGATTACAGGTATGAGCCTCCGCACCTGGCCATGTGATTATTTGTGAAGGAAATGTTTAGAAAAGATTTTACTTTCTTTAGTAACCAGTAATGTTACGCATCTTTCCAGATGTTTATTGATCACTTGAATTTCAACATTGGCTACTTACTTCTTTTGCTCATTTTCTAAGGGAGTGTCCATCTTTTTACACAAGATGCTCAGACTATAGGCTAAAGGTGAACTGGGCCCCAAGGGTTGTATGTGATGCGGTAGGCATCCAGAGAGCCCATCCAGGTCTAGGTTGGCAAATCAAGGAGGCCATCCTGGAGGAGGTAGTGCTCATCTGCTGGGATTCCCTGTTGGAAATGTTAAATTTGCTGAATGAATGGATGGATTTTCTTCTAGAATAAGAATGGAACAGTTGATGTCCATAACCCAGGAGGAGACTGAGAACCTACGGCGACGTGAGGTTGCCTGTGAGTTGCGGGATGGGGAGCTTGTGAGCACGCTGCCTGCTGGCTGGGCTGGCAGAGTCAATGGCCCTCCCTCTGTTGGCCATGCATGGAGGGTACTGAGTGCTAGCCCTCGAGAGGGGTGGTCAAATCCCATCATGGAGCACAGGCTGTGGAGTCAGCCTAGATGTGGATTCAGAGTCCCAGTTCAGACACCCACCATGTGATTTTAGGGACATTACTGCTCCCCTACTTTTCCAAGCCTCGGTTTTCTTAGCTATAAAATGGAGGAAATGGGCCAGGTGTGGGGGAGCTCATGCTTGTAATCCCAGTGCTTTAGGAAGCTGAGGCTGGAAGATCACATGAGCCCCGGAGTTCAAGGCTGCAGTGAGCTGTGATCACGCTACTGCACTCCAGCCTGGGTGACATATCGAGACCCTTTCTCGAAAAAAAAAAAAGAAACAAAAGTCCAAATGCCCCCAGATAGAGGATACTTAAATAAACGTGGGCGATCCGTGTGCTGCGGCACTGCCCGCATTAGCATCCCATTAGCGTGTCATCATGGGGATCGTTCATAAAAAGTGGGAAGTGGGATTCATTTTCATTTATTTATTTATTTATTTATTTTTGAGACGGAGTTTCGCTCTTGTTACCCAGGCTGGAGTCCAATGGCGCGATCTCGGCTCACCGCAACCTCCGCCTCCTGGGTTCCGGCAATTCTCCTGCCTCAGCCTCCTGAGTAGCTGAGATTACAAGCACGCGCCACCATGCCCAGCTAATTTTTTGTGTTTTTAGTAGAGACGGGGTTTCACCATGTTGACCAGGATGGTCTCGATCTCTTGACCTCGTGATCCACCCGCCTCGGCCTCCCAAAGTGCTGGGATTACAGGCTTGAGCCACCGCGCCTGGCCCCTCATTTTTTTTTTTATTTTCAAATATGCATAATGTAAAATTTACCATCTTAATTGCTTTATTTTATTTATGTTTTGAGACAATGTCTCGCTCTGTCGCCCTGGCTAGAGTACAGTGGTGTGATCTTGGCTCACTGCAACCTCTGCCTCCCAGGTTCAAGCTATTCTTGCCTCCGCCTCTGAGTAGCTGGGATCACAGACGCACACCACCACTCCCGGCTAATTTTTGTATTTTTAGTTGAGATGGGGTTTTGCCATGTTGGCCAGGCTTGTCTTGAACTCCTAACCTCAAGTGATCCACCTGCCTCAGCCTCCCAAAGTGCTGGGATTACAGGCATGAGCCCCCGTGCCTGGCCTATTTTAATTTTTTTAAATTCATAAATATGTGTAAAGCTTGACTAGAAGAATATATATCAAAATGGAATAATATTTCTGGATGACAAGATCACAGAAGGCTTTTGTATGTGCTATTCAGTGCTTTACAATTAGCCTTCCAAGCATAAGTTGCTTTTATAGTTAAAAAGAACAAAGGGTTTTTTAAGGTGACTCTCAGGCAGGTAACCAGGTGAGGCCTTAAGGCCTGTTCCTCGGCTCCCGTGGAAATCCCTGCTGCATCCCTGCCCAGGCGCCCCAGGAGCAGCCCCCGCTGAGGCTGTCCCCACCCCATGTTCCCGCAGCCGCCATGAAGCAGATGCTGACTGAGCGCTGTAAGAACCGGCTCATGCAGATGGCCTACGAATCTCAGAGGCAGAGCTTGGCCCAGCAGGCCTGTTCCAGGTAAGGTAAGGAAGAGGAGTCCCAGGTGAGGGAGCTGGGGGAGCCGGCTAGGGGCCCAGGACCATGGGGTGAGAGCTGGACGCTAAACCTCCCGCGCTGGGCCACCCCAGTCTCCGCTGTGCCATCAGGTGCAAGTGATGGCTGCTGTTCCTGAGTGTCCAGCTGGACCTATGATTCAGCGCCGGGCTGTGAGAAAGTGCTAACAGTCACTCCCATCTCTTGCGCGCTCCCTGTGTGGCAGGCACGAGGCTAAGTGATGAACCGCATTCTCGGATTGATTCTAGGAGGGACTTCGTTGTTATTAGCCCCATTTTACAATTGCAACTCAGGTTCTGAGCAACTGTATAACACACCCAAGGAAGCCCAGCCAGCAGGTGGCGGAACCTGGATTTGAGCCCGGCAGAGGGGTGGGGTGTGCTCTTGATTGCGGTGCACTGGTCAGTCTGTCTCCAAGGACCCCTGAGGTTAGGGGTGGGATGCCCCAGAGGGATAAGTGAAGGATTGCTTTCCTGCCGATGGCCACTCTGGATTCGGGCTCCCTGTGCTCACTGTGGCACTGTGGGTTTGTTCGAGGTTCCACAGGTGCCCAGTAGAGCCAGTGTGGGAAACTCAGTCAGTGCTCAGGAGCCCCAAACGGACAGGACAGCAGCCCCGGATGCCCTGTTTCTCCTCCCATGCAGGTGACTGGCACAGCTGCCACCCTCCAGGGTACCTGAACTGTGCCAGCCTCCCCTGGGTCCCTGCAGATGTGGGAATTTCTAGCCCCTTTCCTGCTGTTTGACGCTGTGCTTAGGAGTTGCAAGCCCAGGGGTCAGACAGAGCTGGATACAGGCCCCACTTCTGCTTACTAACCTCGAGGTCTCAGGCAGTTCTCTTTCCTTCCCTGGGCTTCAAATTTCTTATCAGATGAATCACAGAACCTACCTGTTGAGTTGGTGGAGGATTTGATGAGTGTTAATAAGCATAATATCTAGTGCATAAAGGTCCAATAAGTACTCGCTATTGTCTTGAAGCAGGAACCTCCCTGGAAAAAAATAATTGCTATTATGAAATAAAACCAAGATAGTGGCCAGGCATGATGGCTCAAGCCTGTAATCCCAGCACTTTGGGAGGCCGAGGTGGGTGGATCACCTGAGGTTGGGAGTTCGAGACCAGCCTGGCCAATGTAGCAAATCCCCGTCTCTACTAAAAATACAAAAAATTAGTCGGGCATGGTGGTGGGCACTTGTAATCCCAGCTACTTGGGAGCTGAGGCAGGAAAATTGCTTGAACCCGGGAGGTGGAGGTTGCAGTGAGCCACGATTGCACGGCTGCACTCCAGCGTGGATGACAGAGGAAGACTCTGTCTCAAAACAAACAAACAAACAAAAACACACCAAGATGGTACCAAAGCACAGCACAGGTACGTGAGGCTGCAGGTTCTTGTGCCCAAATTACCAGCCTCGTCTGGAAGGCTGAGAGCTGCTCCTGGACCAGGGCGAGAATCCCAGGAAGGACAGCTTTGTCACACTCCAGTGGCTCATCACCCATGGGAGGCGGGAGCTCTGCACGCATGGAGGGGGCTGGGCAGAGGCCAGGCATCCACTTCCAGGGGTGCTGTGGGGGGTATTCTGGTGGAGTGTTGGGTGAGAGGACCTGGAAGCGTCTCCCAGCTCCCACCTCGATCCCCTTCCCTCAAGGCCGTGGGATTCAGACAGACTCAGTGCCTGTGCCCCATCCGGGGCCCGGCTCCCAGCAGGTGCTCCATGAGTGAGGTCCAGTGAAGAAATGGATTATCTTGATCTCCTCTGAGGGGCCTGGCACATAGTAGATGCTCAGGAAATGTTCCAAGAATGAATGAATTTGCCGTCTTTCTGGCAGCATGGCTGAAATGGATGAACGGTTCCAGCAGATTCTGTCATGGCAGCAAATGGATCAGAACAAAGCCATCAGCCAGATCCTGCAGGAGGTGAGCCCTTGCCCAGGGCCTAAGGGTGGGGCTCGGGAGGGAGGCCCAGGAGCCAGGGCAGAGCACAGAGATCCACACAGAGCCCTTCTGAGACAGCGTGTGGGACCCCAGAGGTTTGTGACCGTAGAAGTGTGTAATGATCGGCCGGGCGCAGTGCCTGATGCTTGTAATCCCGGCACTTCGGGAGGCTGATGCAGGCGGATCATGAGGTCAGGAGTTCAAGACCAGCTTGGTCAATATGGTGAAACCCCATCTCTCCTAATAAGACAAAAATTAGCCAGGTGTGATGGCGCACACCTGTAGTCCCAGATACTCAGGAGGCTGAGGGAGAAGAATCACTTGAACCCAGGAGGTAGAGGTTGCAGTGAACTGAGATTGCACCACTGCACTCCAGCCTGGGTGACAGAGCGAGATTCCATCTCAAAAGGAAAGAACTGTATAGTGATCAGGGTGAGGGGCAGAGAGAGGCTGAGCGGGGACCTGGGGTTGGTTTTCTGGTCACTAAAATCCACAGAAGCACCTCCATCTGCTCCCTGGGAGGCCCCCACCCCCAACCTTTGTAGGGGCTCCACTGGAAGGACTTAAGTGGCAGGAGGTGATGGTGACCACACCATGGAGGTCAGGAGGCCACAGAGGATGCTGTGGGACCTCTGACCTCTTCTCACGTCCAGACTTGCTGCGCTGCTGTCCGCTCTTCCTCCTCCGCGGTGCCCCGGAAGTGCTTGCCAGAGCCCTTGAGTGGATAGAACGAAGGGCCCCAGGGACCTCCCCTTCAGTGTCTTTCAGTGTCTGTATTACTCTCTTTTAGCTTTTTTTTTTTAGACAGTGTTTTCCCCCTTGTTGCCCAGGCTGGAGTGCAGTGACGAACTCTCAGCTTACTGCAACCACTGCCTCCTGGGTTCAAGTGATTCTCCTGCCTCAGCCTCCCAAGTAGCTAGGATAACAGGCGCCCACCACCACGCCTAACCAATTTTTGTGTTTTTAGTAGAGACGGGGTTTCACCATGTTGGCCAGGCTGGTGTCAAACTCCTGACCTCAGGTGATCCACCTGCCTTGGCCTCCAAAAGTGCTGGGATTACAAGTGTGAGCCACCGCGCCCGGCCTGTTTAGCTTTTTCTTTTCTTTCTTTTCTTTTCTTTTTTTTTTTTTTTAAGACAAAATCCTGCTCTGTTGCCCAGGATAAGTGAAGTGACGTGATAACAGTTCACTACAGCCTCAAACTCCTGGGCTCAAATGATCCACCTTCACCTCCTACATAGCTGGGACTACAGGGCCACCAAGCCTAGCTGGTTTTTTTGATTTGTTGTAGAGACAGAGTCTCCCTATGTTGCCCAAGCCGGTCTCAAACTCCTGGGCTCAAGCATCCTTCTGCCTCAGCCTCCAAAGGGCTGCGATTACAGACGTGAGCCACCGGCCTGCTGAGCTCCTTCCCACACCTGTGGGAATCTTGCCGCTGCCTGCCTTGTTTCCTCACCTCTCTCCTCTGTCCTCTGCGTGTTTGTCATCCCACCTTCCTCCTTCCTCCCTAACTTCAATCTCTGTTCTAAAATGGTTTGACTTAGTATCTGTGGAGCTTGTCTGAGGAAAATTCTCTATTTCTCAGAGGAGGCATCTGCCTTGTGATTAAGTGGGGCTCGGGAGCTGGATAGGCCGAGTGTGTGTCCCAGCGCTGCTGGTTCATGCCTCTGAGTGTCACTTTCCCCATCTGTGAAATGGGGCAGTAAAAGCACCCACACAGTCCGCTGTGGTGGAAATTCAGGGTGTGATGCCGGAAGAGCATCAAGTAGAGGCCAGCCCGCGGTAAGCCCTTAGTATTATTTTAAGATTTACACAAGTGAGGTGGAATCTTCTCTCTCTCTCAAAAAAAACCCCATCATTAAGGTGCTTGGTACACAGTTTTTGCTTTTCCCCGGGATGGGCCTGCCGGGAAAGGCATGGGCACGGCCCCTGCTGAGGACCGGTGGTCTGTGTTGCAGAGCGCGATGCAGAAGGCTGCGTTCGAGGCGCTCCAGGTGAAGAAAGACCTGATGCATCGGCAGATCAGGAGCCAGGTGAGCTCTGGGGCCGTGGCCCCAGACCTGCCCTCTCGGAGACTTGCGGAGTGTCCCTCCAGGGCAGCAGGTCGCAGCAGTTGAGGTTTGAACCCTAGCACCTTGGCTTGCTAGCCCAGCAAGAGGTCAAGGCCTCTCCCTCGGCACCCCCTTTGTTCCCAGCCTTGTGTTGGGGATCCTAGGCGGGTGCCTGGAGGCCTCCTATTCTGGGGTTGGGCGAGGGTCTTACCAGCAAGCGTGGCCTGTTCAGTCTCCACCATGCCTGGGCCAGGGAGGGCAGCATTCATGCCTGGCTGTGACTGCTGGGGCCGCCTCTGCTGTCTGTGCTCCAGGCAGGACACTGGGAAAAGCAGCCTGTGCAGGCCCCCGCACTACTGAAGCTCAGACCAACAGAGACCCATACGTCTCAGGGGTGTATGGGATTTCCCCCGGAAGTGGGCAGGTGGGGCTGTGAGCCATGGTGGTCCTGACGCCTGCTGAAAAGTGACCTCGGCCCAAGAGGAGGAGGGCCTCTTTATGGGCCCTCCCTCACATGACAAGATCCCCCCCCCAGGTGGCTGCTGATCTTTGAGGTGTCCTTGGGCAAGCGCACCTGTGGGGCCTGGTGGCCCCCGCCTGTGGAGTGGGGCTGGGGCTGAAGTGAGCTTCAGGCTATGGGAACGCTCCTGCATCATGTTCAGCACACTGAATTTTACATTTTTTGCATGGTTTTTTTTTTCTTTCTTTCCCTATTTTTCTTTCTTTCTTTCTTTTTGGACCAATTTACCTTTTCAATTTCCCTCTTTAATTTCAATTCCACGTTGCCAGACATGAAGCTCATTCCTCTGACCAGGGGTTGGTAATATCGTAGGGACTTAGAGACGAGGGTCACAGGGTCATGGGCACAGGATAGGGAAGTACTGGCTGTGGGGCCTGACCACCCCCCCAGGGCTAAAATCCCCCAGACACACCCTGGAGAGTGTGCGAGGCCCCCGACATTCTCACTGCAGATGGTTTTGACCAGGTCAGCTGTTCCCCTTCAAACCTTGAGCTGGGGCATCCCAGAGAAGGATCTCTCACTTACCTGCTTTGTGTCCTTGGGCAAGTGACTGAACCTCTCTGAGCCTCAGTTTTCTTGTCTGTAAAATAGAGGCAGTAATATCTCCTAACAGCCAGAGAATTGATGTAATATTGCACATAAAGTATACAGGACAGGCCTAGCACATAGTAGGTGCTCAAGACATACCATCTACTACTACCACTGTTACTCAGCCACTTACTTCCACCACCCTCTCTGCTGTCCCCTGCAACAGCGATGAGGGGCATAAGAGACCCTGACCAGAAGGAAGCTGGGTGATAGTTCTGTGTCTGTGCTTTACTCTGGCCTGAATCTCCAAGCAGAGCCCCCTCTCCATTGCACAAGCCTTTCTTCTGTGCCTGCTCTGGGACAGATCCTGTGCTGGGCTCTAGGTAAACAATGTTGGCCCGTCCATGACCCCAGGAACTCAGGGCCATGAAGGAATGAATTCTTGTTCAAGCCCCTTGATGAGGTTCCCAGGCATAGAGGGTCCCCTATTCCAGAACCTCCCTAGCCTCCCCAGAAAGGCTTCGTAGACCCCACTCGGTCATCAGAGAGTAGCAGCAGGAAACTGAACCATGGTTCATGTGAGTAAAAAACCCCTGTCTCATCTTCTGTTTAGATTAAGTTAATAGAAACTGAGTTATTGCAGCTGACACAGCTGGAGTTAAAGAGGAAGTCCCTGGACACAGAGACACTACAGGTATGTAGGGCTCCCTGCCCCTGCCCTCCCTCACATGCTGAGACCCCCACCTCATGCCCTTTCCAGCCCCTGGCAGCTGCTTGTCAGCCCCTGGGAGTCAAGGGCTTCCCCAGAAGACAGAGGGCAGAGTTTTTCTGTGGCTGTGATACCAGAGGACGCAACTCAGCCCCAGAGGGCCCAGCGCAGGCTGAGGCTAGGGGTGGTCAGCCTGTTGTGAGGCAGGAGGGTCAGAGGAAGGAGGGTTTCATTGCCAAGGCTCCCCTGCTCCATTTCCATCACTGTTTCCTGTGCTGGGTGTGGGCCCACGCTGAGCTCTGTCTCTCTGTAGGTCATGCTTCAGGCCGCTGGGCAGACATCCTCCAGGGTTGGAGCTTTTGGGTGTCCCTGGGATGTCTGGAGGAGAGGGCCCAGCCATGTCTGTGTCGCTCCAGCCCAGCATTCCTGCTCACACAAAGAGGGTGGCAGGGACTAGCAGCTGGTGTCCTGGACTGGACACCTGGGAGCCGGGTGTGGCTCGGCACAGCCCTGCTGCGCAACCTTGGCAGGTGGGGGAGGAGGGGCAGCCCTTGCCCCTCTGTGGACCTTAGCCCCTCCAGCTGCAGGTGGAGGGCTGGATGGGGTGGTGTGTGAGGACATGTGCTGTGCCAGGCATTTGAGCGGAGCCTTCTGTCTGTCACTGTCCCTGTGTCTGTTCTCAGTAGAGAAATCTCAAGTCATCCCATGGACTCAGTGCATTGAGAGGTCCGGGGTTCTGGATACCTGGTCTCAGGTGCTCTGCAAGTATACTGTGTGCCCTTAGGCAGGCCTCTGCCCCTCTGGGCCTTCTTCCCCTATTCTGTAAAATGGCAGCTGTCCTCCAGGCCCAGCCTGTGCCATCTGGCCATCGGAGAAGGCTGAGCTAGCAAAGGAAAGCCCTTTGTGAGCTTTGAAATGATCTCCAGAGATGAGGGGACTGGAGCTGCTCTCAGAGAAGCTGTGGCCATTGTGCCTGGCAGGTGCCCTAGTCCCTGCCCATGAGAGCAGCAGGGCTCCACCTGTCAGGGCCCCCAAGGGGTTTCCAAGAGCAGGCACGGGAGTGGAACAAGGACCCCAAGCTCTGATTTGCACACCCCTCCATTTGTGTGAGGCCCCATACCCCCTCCCCACCATTTGCTTCTGCCCATGTGCTCTGTTGTCTGGGAGACCAAAGGCAGGTACCTGTGGCTTGTCGTTTCTTTTGTTTGATGAATGTTTCCTACCATTCCATTGTCATCAGTCACCAGGATCCCATGCCTGACTTCACCCCACAAGGAAGAGAGATGCAGGCTTACGGGAAGAGGGGCAGAAGGGCCTCTCAGCTTTGTACCCCAGCTCAGCCTGGAGGCGTGGGGCAGGGAACCGAGTGAGCGGGAGGCCAAGCCCTTCTCTATCCTGCCACTGCGGGACTCCTGAGGCACCGCTAGCTCATGGTGGTGCGGGGTGTGGTCTTGTGTTGCAGGAGATGGTCTCGGAGCAGCGCTGGGCCCTTAGCAACCTGCTCCAGCAGCTGCTCAAAGAGAAGCAGCAGCGAGAGGAAGAACTCCGGGAAATCCTGGTACGTGTTGGCTTCTGTGCTCAGCATCACACATGCGTTTGCTTTTCTCTGACAGACTGGCCATTTTTAGAAACACCTGTTATTTAAGTAAGAGTTGTTCATCAAAGAAAAACTGGAAAATGCAAAGGAAAATAATTGCACTTCCAAGAGTTATCTCCTGCTGTTTTTTCTCGGTTTGCTTGTTTAAGACAGGGTCTCACTCTGTTGCCCAGGCCAGAGTGCAACGGCGCAATCTCTGCTCACTGCACTTGACTTCCTGGGCTCAAGCGATCGTCCCACCTCAACATCCCAAGTAGCTGGAAATACAGGCATGTGCCACCATGCCTGGCTAATTTTTTTATTTTTCTTAGAGATGGGGTTTTGCCACATTGCCCAGGCTGGTCTTGAACTCCTGGGCTCAAGTGATCTATCTGCCTTGGCCTCCAAAAGTGCTGTGATTACAGGCATGAGCCACCATGCCCAGCCTCTCCTGCTGTTTTGATGCATGTTTTCCAAACATTGTGATGCATCTTTATAGCTATTTGTGTATCTGCCTTTTCAACATGACATGGTGCGTACTCTTTACCACCAGCCTGTTTCTATACATTCTTTTCAAGCCGTTAAACCCTTCCTTGACATCCTTTCTCAAGGCTGTGCTTGGCCCCTATTGTTGAGTATGTGGATTACTTCTGGTTTTTAAACTTACAGGCGATGCTCTCTGAATTCCCCTGTAGTTGAGTATTTGGGAACAGCTATGAGTACTCACTCCAAAACAGGACTTGCTATGTCCAGGACAGGCTGTTTGATATGCTTTTGGCAGGAGTGGCCTGGTTGTCCCCTGTCCCCTAATAAGTTTGATGCTGGCGCACTTTCAGAGAGGCAGAGGCCCCCCTTGAAAGTGTCTTCTCTAGACCCAGGGGCCACCCAGCAGCGAGACCAGAGGCCAGGCCCACCATCTGGGGCGGAAAAGACCGAGTTATTCCTGTGTCACCGTGAATGCACAGACGTCTCTGAGCTGCATCCTAGACCTGGCCCTGTGCAGGTTTTTCTTCTTTTCCCGAGACAAAGGTTAGCTTTTGTTGCCCAGCCTGGAGTGCAATGGCGTGATCTTGGCTCACTGCAACCTCCGCCCCCTGGGTTCAGGTGATTCTCTTGCCTCAGCCTCCCGAGTAGCCAGGATTACAGGCATGCAACACCATGCCCAGCTAATTTTTGCATTTTTTTTAGTAGAGACGGGGTTTCACCATGTTGGTCAGGCTGGTCTTGAACTCCTGATGTCAGGTGATTCACCCACCCTGGCTTCCCAAAGTGCTGGGATTATAGGCTTGAGCCACCACACCTGGCCCCTGTATAGGTTTAGAAGAGAGAAACCAGCTTCTTCTGGAGTCCTGAACAAGCCAAGTGGTGCCTGTGCCCATCAGAGGAAGCTGCCTATTCCTCACGGTGCTCTGCTGCCATATCCTATGCATCAGGTTACTGGGCAGATGGTGCCCTGTGCTGTGCTGTGGCTGGTGCTCCTGCTCTCATATGCCTCGGGGGTCACCACCAAGGGAGGAAGCACCGCCCCAGCAGAACACAGCCAGTCCGCGCTCCTGGGTGCCAGAAGAGGGGCTGCAGCCAGAGAGGGCCAGCGATAGAACGGAGCAGTGGGTGTGGCCAAGTCCACAGCCGGGGGGCCCCCAAAGGGCAGTCAGGCTGAGCGGGGATGGGGAAACACCTCCCCATGTCATGCCAGCCCTCACTGCTGTTCTAAGTAACTTTGTTCTAAGCAAGACAAGCTTGGGGCCTGATTCCTGGCCCCACCCTAGGCAGGGTACTCATTACCCTCAACCTCAGTTCCCTCACCTGGGAGGTGGAATCGACTTCATGGAGTTGTGAGAATCAATGAGTGGCATCTGTAGATGCACAGCATGGCCTGGCACATGGTGCTGTGAGCACGTCAGCTGCGCCTGTTGTCACCGTGGTCGTCATCAGCATCATTTTTGCTCACCGCTTTATTCCCAGCACCTGGAACAATACTCAACAAAGAGTTATCGAATGGTGGAATAAGAGAATTATGTTCAGTAGCACACTGATCATTCTTCTGCTCTGTCAGACAGTGAAGCCCACTCTAGAAGCTGAAGGTGACCTTCGCACCTGTATGCCCCTTGCCTGGTACCCAGGAGGCAGCCTGGGCTGCGTAATGCTTGCTGTCCCACAGGCAGACAGAGGGTATCCCTCCCAGAGAGTGGTGGAGTATGGTGCCAGGTGGCAGAAGCTCAGGTTCAAGTGCTCTCCCTGACCAGGTGTGCAGCGTCGACCAGGTCAGAGAGTGATGCTTCCTGCCTTTCTCATTTCTATAGTTTAAACGGTGGGACAGTAAGTGGGTGGGAAAGTTCTCTGTAAAATACTAAGTACCAGCTGGTCACAGTAGCTCATGCCTATAATCCCAGCACTTTGGGAGGCTGAGGTGGGTGGATCACTTGAGGTCCGGAGTTCGAGACCAGCCTGGTCAACATAGTGAAATCCTGTGTCTACTACAAATACAAAAATGAGCTGGGCGTGGTGGCAGGCATTTGTAATCCCAGCTACTTGGGCACTCCAGCCTGGGTGACAGAGCAAGACTCTATATCAAAAATAAAATCAAATAAAATGCTAAGTGCGTCCACCTGCTCAGAGGAGTATAGTTCACAACCATCATTGTTAGTACAGGTTTTATTACCATTTTGTAACTCACATTGCCTGCTTCATTCCTGGCAGACGGAGTTGGAAGCCAAAAGTGAAACCAGGCAGGAAAATTACTGGCTGATTCAGTATCAACGGCTTTTGAACCAGAAGCCCCTGTCCTTGAAGCTGCAAGTAAGGACTGTTGCTGCCTGCCCCGGCCAGGGAGCCCCGGGGTCTCCTCCCAGAGCATCTCTGGCCTCCACCATGCTCTGCCTCCTGTTACCTTTCCAGTGACTCTGGCATGCCAGATCCTGTGCCAAGCCCCGGTGGGGACAGAAGTGAGAACAAGGGAGTATTCATTCTGGTGAGGGGGACAAGGCGCTGGTCACTGCTGTGCAGGGCAGAGACCACTGAGCCCACAGTAGAGCGAAGCCTGTGCCCGGGGGCCACCGTCTGCCCAGCACGTGCAGGGACAGGGTGCTGGATGAAACAGCCTCCTCTCAGTGAATGTTCAAGTTGCTTACTATTTCCAGGTTTGCAGACAGAGTGGCAGTGACCCCCTTGGGCCCATCTATCTCTGTGTGCCTACACATGCGTTTTTGTAGGAATAATCCTGAGTATGGTCTATGTCTTGTGTTGTGTATATTCAAACCCTTCCTTTCCTGTTGTAAGCAGTGAGTTCTTTTCTTCCTTCCCACTCATGGTACACTTTTCCCTGGTCTGTCTTGCAGGAGGAGGGCGTGGAGCGCCAGCTGGTGGCCCTCCTGGAGGAGCTGTCGGCCGAGCACTACCTGCCCATCTTTGCCCACCACCGCCTCTCGCTGGCTCTGCTGAGCCAGATGAGCCCCGGGGACCTGGCCAAGGTGGGCAGCAGCCGTCCATGGGGAGGAGGTGTGCAAGGGTGGGGAGGGGTGTGCAAGGCTGCTGGCATGACCAGCGGGTTGACCTGCTCCTCGTGGAGTTCTCAGTGAGGTCTGTCCTTACCTAATGGCCTAGGCCCACCTTGTTTCCTGATGGCCAGAACGCCTGCCCATCAGCCCCAGCCACCTGTGTGTGCCCTGGACACCATCTCACTGGGAAATCCTGGGGAGGTGGGTCCTGCTGACCTGCTCAGACTGGATCTTCAGACTGGAGGGGCAAGACAGGCCCCTGGGGATTGTCCCATCCAGCCTCCGCCCTGTCCCTTGGTGTGAAAGACTGTCGTGACCTCAGCACTGCCTGAGCCCCTATTCTGGGCACAAGCTGGGCTCTTTACGGCACATTAATCCACTTACTCTCCAAAACAGAATAATCATCGCTGTGCCAGCTAACACCTTCATACCACCTGCACGTGCTGGGCACCATTTTAAGACTTTTCGTATTTGAATTCACTGAATCCTCTCGGCGGCCCAGGGAGGTACAGAGACTTATCATCACCTTTCAGATGAGGCCCAGTAAGGCAGTAACTTGGCCTCAGGTCACACAGCAGAGTGAGGCCTCTACCCCTAGCAATCCAGCCCTAGAGTTCCTGTTCTTTGCCATGAGACTGTCCTGCCTCTCCCTGGACAGATGCAGACACCAAGGTCCGAAAGGACTGGATGGTACTGAGGGTCTCAGGCCAGGCTGCTTAGGCTCTGAAGGCTGAGGGGCTGTGGGCTCAGGTGCTGCTGCTTAGCGGCTTGGCCCCAAAGGCTTCTCTCCTGCCCCACCTGGTGGGGAAGTGGCGTGAGGCGTGCAGGTGAAGCCCGGTACTGGGAAGCAGTCGCTAAACCATGGCTGTTGCTAGTTGCTAGTGCTGGCTTCCCTTTGGGCCTCAGTTTCCTTCCCACCCCCACCACACCAATTGTGAGGCTGAGGCCTGAGGAAGTTGCCCTCACAGTGATGGTGCCGCGCCGCCTCATCCTGACCCGGGCCAGGCCCTGGACGGCTCCCACATTTCCAGCGAAGGTGCTGGTGCTTCTGTGGGCTGGGCCTGCGCCAGGTGGCTCGTATCATTTAGCAGGCTCCCCCCAGCCCACAGTCTGCTCCTCCCTGAACTGTCGCAGCTGGGCGTATCAGAAGCCGGCCTGCAGCACGAGATCCTCCGGAAGGTCCAGGAACTGCTGGATGCAGCCAGGATCCAGCCAGGTACCAGCGCAGCTCCGGCCTCCTCTGGGCAGGGCTCCAGCCGAATGTGTGGCTGTGGTGGGGACAGTCATTTGCTTACATGTCAGGATGAGTCCTGACGGCTGCTTCTAGCCTCTGCCCGCCGGTAAGGTTCCCTCCCAAGGACCAGGCTTAGGGATTAGTGAGCCCGTTTTACAGATGGGAAAAACGGGCCACCAAAGTGGGGAAACAGGGAGACCTCGAAGTCGCAGTGGAGGGCCCTCCCGGCTCCCTGTCCCTCCTTCCCTGAGCCCACCCTACCGACACTGGGGTCCACACACCGAGGGACTTTGGACTAGAGGGAGAAACAACCCGTCCCCAGGGCCTGCTGCGTGCCCAGTGCTGGGCCTGAGGGGTGTCTGTGGGTGTGGAGAGATGTCCACAACAGGCTGGGATGGGGTGAAGGCAGGTCATGAGCGCCGTGGGGAAAAGGGGCAGGTATGGGGTCCAGGGCCTGCTGTGTGCTGAGCATGACCCGAGAGCCTGGCACCTGCCCATGGCCGTACGGGAACAATGTTGCGGAACCTCTGAATCAACCTCATGGGGGGCACTGTTGTGGTCCTCATTTTCAAGATAAGGAAACTGAGGCGGAGAGAGGTTAGCATGTCCCCCGTTAGGTCCCACTGCTGGCACATGGTGGAACTACTGGGCTTGACTGCCTCCCTGGGGAAGAAGTGAGGGGCCAGAGCAGGGGTGAAGGAGAGGGCAGGCTTGTGCAGCTGGGCTGGGTGAGCTGCAGCCTGGCTGGCTGTGGGCAGGGCATTTTTAGCCAGAGCCAAGGAAGAGGCGAAGCGACTGGGGCAAAGGTGGAGTTCCTGGACTGGACCTCAGTGAGGGGGCCCGGGGCTCCAGGGGGCTGGGCTGACTGCAGCCCATGAGAGCTTCAGACACCAGTTCTGCAGCCACTCTAATCCAGGGACATTGACTCAATCCCCCAAAAGTCACTAAACTTAGTTTTTTGATATCAAGTCATATGCGGCATAGGCCCCTTCTGGATGTTCCTGACCCTTCAGCTCTTAGACTGGAGATCAGGAAGAGTTTGCCATCAGGAGCTGGGTCACCCCTAGCAGACAAGCCTCACATGAGCAGTAGTCACAAACAGGTGCCTCTCACAGGAGCAGGGTGCAATGGTGCCTCTGAGCCCAGTGGTCCTCAGGACTGACTGCTTCTGACTGTTTGGGTCATCCCTAGAGCTCGCAAGCAGGTCTTCCTCTCCATAGCTGATCCGCCGCAAGGATCTGTGGCCACGTGCAGAGAGTGGATGCCTCGGCTGCTCAGGGCTTCCTGCTTGTGCCAGTTGGCAGGGGAAGGGGCTGTGTTGGGATCCAGCCTCAGTTCCAGAAGGCACGGGAAACCCTCAATTTTCTGACAATTCTCTTATTATTCCCAGAAATCAGTATACTTTATATCTAAATATAGAGGCTGGGGCCGGGCGCGATGGCTCACACCTGTAATCCCAGCACTCTGGGAGGCTGAGGTGGGCTAATCATCTGAGGTCAGGAGTCATCTGAGGTCGGGCGCGATGGCTCACACCTGTAATCCCAGCACTCTAGGAGGCTGAGGTGGGCGAATCATCTGAGGTCAGACTAGATAAGCCTGGTCAATGTGGTGAAACCCCACCTCTACTAAAAGTACAAAAATTAGCTGGGTGTGGTGGCAGGCACCTGTATTCCCAGCACTTAGGAGTCTGAAGCAGGAGAATTGCTTGAACCTGGGAGGTGGATGTTACAGTGAGCCAAGACCACGCCCCAGCACTCCAGCCTGGATGACAAAGTGAAACTGTCTCGAAAAAAAAAAGCCAAAAAAGCAAATAGAGAGGGCCTCTGAACATGTTTTCTTCAGTTATCTAAGTATAGATATATCTCCAGTGGCTCATGGCTATAGTCCCAGCACTTGGGGAGGCCCAGGTGGGAGGATTACTTGAGCCCAGGAGTTTGAGACCAGCCTGGGCAACATAGACCCCTTCTCTACACAAAATAAAATTAGCTGGGCCTGGTGGTGAACTTCCTAGTTCCAACTACTTGGGAGGCAAACATAGGAGGATCACCTGAGCTTGGGAGGTCAAGGCTGCAGTGAGCCATGATTGTGCCCCTGCACTGCAGCCTGGGAAAGAGTGAGACTGTTTCAAAAACAAAACAAAACAGAAAATCAAAAAATTAGCCCCAGCTACTCTGGAGGCTGAGGTGGGAGGAATGCTTGAGCCTGGGTGGTTGAGGCTGCAGTGAGCTGTGATCAGGACACTACACTCCAGCCTAGGTGATGAAGCAAGACCCTGTCTTAAAAAAAAGAAAAAAACACACATACACACACTTATATATGTATGAGAGCCCCCTCAAAATGGCGGTTTGGGGGCAGCACTGTTACCTTTAGAGGATCTAGTATTATAACAGCCTTTAAAAAATCTTTAGTATTTATCCTGTTATAAAAAAAAATGCTTGTAATTCAAGCCATAGAATAAATTAATAAAATGAATCATGATCAGAAAGGGAACCAGGGATAGAGTCAAGGAAATGGGTGGCTCATGTTGCATGATTAAAAAAAAAAAAAAAAAAAGACAACGCCGGGCACTGTGGCTCGCAGCTGTAATCCCAGCACTTCGGGAGCCGAGGCGGGCAGATCACCTGAGGTCAGGAGTTTGAGAACAGCTTGGCCAACATGGTGAAACCCCGTCTCTACTAAAAATACGAAAATTAGGCATGGTGGTGCACATCTATAATCCCAGCTACTCAGGAGGCTGAGGCAGGAGAATTGCTTGAACCCAGGAGGTGAGGTTGCAGTGAGCTGAGATTGAGCCACTGCACTCTAGCCTGGGTGACAGAGCAAGACTCCATTTAAAAAAAAAAAAAAAAAAAAGAGACTTAGCATTTTGTAAGGGCTGCTTCTGATGTCCTAGCAGGGGGATGCCGGCTCCAGGGCAGAGCAGCCAGCATGCGGGGACTCTGGGGGGCTGGGGGTGGGGGAGCAGCCTTGGGGGACCTCTCATTCTGCTCCCCTGGGTTTGCCTGATGGGCAGCAGCCCATCCTGTCTCCTGGACAACCAGGTGGAGAAGCTGAGAGCCCGCCCTTCACTGAGAGCTCCTGCCCCAGGGCTCCAGTACTGCAGCTGCACCACCAGATGGCAGCGTGGCCCTGGGCCAGTGACTCCCCCATTCTGAGCCTCAAATGCCTCATCTCAAAGTACTGAGCCCTTTTTGCAGGGTGGCTATGAAGGGTCCTGGTGACATTAGAGATCAGAGGACCCAGTTAACAAGCTCTGCAGCCATCCCTGCAAAGAGAGACTGCACTCCCATTCTACAGATGGGAAATGAGGCTCAGAGAAGAGGAGCATGTGTGGCAAGGAGAGCACTCCCCCAGATCCGAGTGCAGAGGTTCCCCCACGCTGCAGCTCACTCACTATGGGGATAGGCTGGGCCATGAGGAGCCCCTAGGGGTTGGGGTCATCGGGGTTGACCGTGGCTCAGTCTGTCTATCTGGTCTCCACAGAGCTGAAACCACCAGCGGGTGAGGTCCTCACCCCCACAGCCCCCCAAGAGCCTCCAGAGTCCGTGAGGCCATCGGCTCCCCCTGCAGAGCTGGAGGTGCAGGCCTCAGAGTGTGTGGTGTGCCTGGAACGGGAGGTAAGTCTGGGTCTCCCCACTGCGCCTGCCCTGCCTGCGGCTGCGTCATCAAACCCTCCAGGCACAGGGGCTGCCTCTGAACGCGTTTTCTCCGGTTATCTAAGTGTATTGTGTTCATCTAGAAAATTTGGAAAACACAGAAAAGCAAAGAATGCAGGAAATAGAAATGAGTCCCCGATCCCACAACCCAAATATGAGCCATGCTCACATCATTTTCCAGACCTTTTTCTTTTTGTTCCTACTTAATAAATACATCAGGAAAAAATCTTCCAAATCATGAAATATCAACAACATGATGTACCCTGCAGAGGCTTTTTAAAAAATCTTTTGGCCAGGTGCGGTGGCTCGTGCCTGTAATCCCATCACTTTGGGAGGCCCAGGCGGGTGGATCACCCGAGGTCAGGAGTTGGAGGCCAGCGTGGCCAACATGGTAAAACCCTATCTCCATTAAAAATGTCAAAATCAGCCAGGTGTGGTGGGCGCCTGTAGTCCCAGCTACTTGGGAGGCTGAGGCAGGAGAGAATTGCTTGAACCTGGCAGGTGGAGGTTGCAGTGAGTCAAGATCCTGCCACTGCTCTCCAGCCTGGGTGAGACTCTTAAAAAAAAAAAAAAATTGAAAAATTATTGCAGAATTACTGATTGTAGAAATTACACAGAGCAGTGAATGAAATGCAAATTGTCCTCCACCTTCACTGAGGGATCCTACTTAGAAAAGCAGCCATGTTTGCAGTTTGATGATTCTAGGGTCTCCAATTGACCCAGGTCATGCCATCATACGGATGGACCTGTTGGTTCCAAATCTAATCCCTGTTCTGGGGCCCTTGGCGTTCCAGACGGCTTTGAGCGGCGCTTGGATCAGTTCCTGAAAGCAGGAGATGCTAAGGCAAAGTGTGGTTCTGAGTCAATGGCTGCTGCTCCAGGTTGGGATCATTTTTAGACTGAGGAGTTCAGGGCCTGGGTACCCTGCACACCCGCTGGCAGGGGCTGGCTGAATAGACTTTGGTCCCTTGTCCGGAGGTCCTGCATATAATCCCGTTTTATTTAAGAAAGAAATAGGGGCCAGGTACGGTGGCTCATGCCTGTAGTCCCAACACTTTGGGAGGCAGAGGTGGGCAGATCACGAGGTCAGGAGATGGAGACCATCCTGGTTTTTTAACACGGTGAAACCCCGTCTCTACTAAATATACAAAAAATTAGCTGGGTGTGGTGGCATGTGCCTGTAGTCCCAGCTACTTGGGAGGCAGAGGTTGCAGTGAGCTGAGATCCAGCCATTGCACTGTAGCCTGTGTGACAGAGCAAGACTCCATCTCAAAGAAAAAAAACAGTTGGGGCATATAGGTATTTTTATTTTTTACAGACTTAGAGAAATAGCAGACTGCTAATAGAAGGGCTAGTTTACCCCTTTCGTCCATGCCTGTTTTGTTTCTGTGGTGTTCAAATGCCCGGGCGCCCCACTGTTGGTGCTTATGGTAAACATGGTAAAGAATAATGAAGGGGGCCGGGCATGATGGCTCACGCCTGTAATCCCAACAGTTTGGAAGGCCCAGGCAGCCAGATCACTTGGGGTCAGGAATTTGAGACCAGCCTGAAACTCCATCTGTACTAAAAATACAAAAAAATTAGCTGGGCATGGTGGCCCACGCTCATAGTCCCAGCTGCTTGGGAGTCTGAGGCAGGAGAATCACTTGAACCCGGGAGGGCAAGGTTGCAGTGAGCCAGGATTGTGCTACTGCACTCCTGCCTGGGTGACAGAACAAGACTGCCTCAATTTAAAAAAAAAAAAAAAAAAAAAAAGGACCCAGGGCCTGGGACTCCTGGAACGCGGCAGGGCTGGCCACATGCTCCCACTCTCCCTCCCCAGGCCCAGATGATCTTCCTCAACTGTGGCCATGTCTGCTGCTGCCAGCAGTGCTGCCAGCCACTGCGCACCTGCCCGCTGTGCCGCCAGGACATTGTCCAGCGCCTCCGGATCTACCACAGCAGCTGAGTGCTGCCTGCCCACCTGGGCCTGGCCCTGCCTCGGTCACTGCGAGCCCCAGGTTCCTGCTCAGCCTTGCGCCAGCCAGACTCATACAAGGTCCTCCCTACCCTGGGCCCTTTCCCCACTGCCCAGGAGCCCCCACCTTGAGCTCCAAGCGCCTCTGGGCCAGGCAGAGGCGCTCCTGATCCATGACACCACCAGTCCGAATGGTCCCTGGGGCCGGGGCTGGAGAGGCCACTGCACCACCACCCGAGCCTGGGAGCCAACATCCCAACCTAATCACGGATCTGCTGCCTCCCAAGTTCTCTGACTGAAGGTCATTCTGCTCCTTCCGGAGCTTGGGTCCTCATCTGGGGACCATGCACAGTCCTGTCCCGCTCTGCACGTGGGGAGTGAGCAGGAGGGCCCACCTCGGTGAGGGGAGGCCGTGGCCGTGGGGGGCCATCCTGGGAAGGCAAGCAGTGCAGGCCTATGCTCACAGTGGTGCCAGCACCCCTGGGCCTCCCTCTCTGCTGCTCCCCAGCACCTGGGGCTCTCCCGCTCTCTGCCACTTTGGATCAAGCCACGTGGTGTGTCCCTCCTCATACCACGTGGCTTGATCCAAAGCAGAGGAGTGTCAATAAACCCATCTTCAGGGCGCTTCTGGCCAGAGTCATTGCAGTGTCCTCGTGGGAGCCCGGGAACAGGAGGGGATGAGGTCTGGGGATGGGGCTAGGACAGAGGGCACCTCCTCTTGGGGAAGGAACCAGGGGCGCGCTGCCCCTCAGTTGAAAGGAGAGGTCGGTAGAGCCATCTTGAGGTGGAGAGACTGGGGCCCAGAGGGAAGGCACCGAGAGGCAGCCAGGGCCAGTGACAGCCTGTGCCTCTGTGAGCGGAGGAGCCCTGTGGGCAGGCTGTGTGTTCCGTACATTATCCCAGTGAGGCAGCTGAGGCCAATGGGGGTAAATGCCTAGGGCCTTGCAACTGGGACATGGTGATGCAGGGTTTGAGGCCCAGAAGCTTCTCACCCTCAAACCTGGGCAGTTGTGCAGGTTGGTCACTGCACAGTTCCAGGAGCCATATACACTTGCACTCGCTGCAGGGGTGCACGTTGATTATGCATTTTCTGGCAGATGGTGTTGAGCCAGGGGAGCCTCTACCTTGGGCACATGGCAGGACTGCTCAGAGCACCTGGGCTCTACCTCCAGCTCAGTGACCCTGGCCAGTGTTTGGGCGTCAGTTTCAGTTAGTGGCCTCCAGGGGGCGCTGAGTGCTCACCCCAAGTACAACATCCACAGGAGTAGGCAGGATGGTTCAGGTTCTAGGGTGGCAGAAAAGTCCCTACGCCCTGGCCTGTTTCCCCCTCCCTGAGACCATCAGTCCTGTGCACGGAACGTGGGCGGATACTCTTTGTTGTGTGGCCTTTTCCCATGTTGGCACCCTCGGTTCCCCCTCCCAACACTCTCCTGAGTTCAACTTGCCAAGGGGGAGAGACTGAGGCAGGTGGAGCTAGCACCTGGAGCACAGCGCTTTGCAGATCTCCTGCTCTCACTAGCCCAGGGAGGCCTCATGGAAGAGCTTGAGACTGTGACCTGGCAAGGCCAACAGCAAGTCACAGCCGCGTCCCTGTGTTCCATACATTACCCCGCTGAGGCTGATGGGAAATACCACGCAGTCCTGTCTTGCACCTTGGCCCTTGTTGACCGAGGGAGGCTCAGGCCTAAGCCCTAGGATGCCACGGACAGGCCGGCACCAGGGAAGCCAACGTTGCCCAAGGTGACTGGCTGCCATCCCACCCAATAAGGACATGCTTTTACCCATAGACGGGACAACCTACCCCCAACAGCTGCAGTGGCTTGAGGGGTGTTCCAGTGCCCCATAAGCTTGGCCCAGGTTCCCCACCTTCCTAGGCCTCAGTTTACACACTGGTGAAATGGTGACAGCAGTGTCCACTTTCTCGAGCCGCCTCGAGGCTCCTGTTCCCACACACACTGCGTTTGGCCCACAGTGAGCGCTTGGTAAACACTAGCGTGTGATCAGGAGTGTTGAAGGAGCTGGCTGTTTGGATCCAGCCCGATCCTGGGCCCACCCCACTGTGAGCACCCCAGGGTCCTGAATGGCCGTGAAGCTGCCGCCGTTCCTCTCAGCCTCACTATTGCCCGAGGCTGCCTCTAACCCCGCAGCACCACTCAAGGCAGCTGGCTTTAAATAAAGCGTTTATTGATTAGTAGAAGCATGAACAGTGTGCATAATATTTTCAATACAATATCGGGGGGATGATGGGAACCCCCCAAAAGGCACTAGAGGCACAGATCTTCAGTACAAGAGCGGGGAGATGCGCCGGAGACCAGGGCTGGGGGAGCTGGGGGGTCCCTGAGTGCCAGGCACCACTGTGGGTCAAGGCCCCTCCTCTGGGGAGCACGTCTAGGGCACGGAGGATGCAGGGCTGGGAGGAGACCCCACCTCAGGACCCCGAAGGAGCCCATTTCTTCCTTGCCCCCTGCAAAGCAGCAGGGGAGGAGGTCTGGGGGGCTCTGGGGTGGGGGTTGCCAGGCCGGGGCCATCCTGGCTTGACCCTTGTCCCAGGAACAAGAAGCTGAGGAGGAACAACAGCCAGACCCAGAGTGACAAGGACATCCAAAGAGGGGCCTGGATTTTCAGGAGAAGGTGACTGAGAGGCAGCAGAGATCAAAGCACAGCCAGACCCCAGACCCTCAGGGAGCGCCCCATACCCCTCAGGGACCCCACCCGGTTCCCCAGGCAACCAGTGAGGTGGCTGATAAGACAGTGGAATCCAACTCCACTATACCCCTTGTTCCCACTACCTCGCTAAGCACCAGTGGGACGGGGACCCGAGGGAGACCTGTGGAGTGGGTAGGCAGGACGGAGGCAGGCTGGGGCTGGAGAAGGGGGTGCACAGGCCCACAAAACCTCAGGTTCCCCACAACCCTCACAGCCATCTCAGCCTCATTCACTCACTCCCAGCCTCCCTGGGGACCCCTCCCTTCCCTCAGGACACTTCCCCTCCTCACACCTGCACGTTCTGGGCCTTTCTCATTCCATCCACCCTGCAAGGCACCCGCTAAATCCCATCCCTCCCCCCAGCACCCACAGCCTGGCTCCAGCCTGAAGACCGCCTCCTTCCCCTTCCCTCCAGAATGGTGGGGAAAGTGAGGCTGGGTCCACCCCTAACTTTGCAAAGAGCAGGGCTAGGGGCCGCAGCGCTCCCCGCTCCCCATCCTAGCCCAGCCAGCCCCTGGGTGAGTGGGCAGGAACCCACTGGCTTCACACCAGCTTCCACCTCCCTCTCTCCAGGAAGGTTAGCAGCACCCACAAGGGGACAGGGGCCACAGAAGGACAGGAACGGAGGGGCTTTCCAGCCCCCCAGCAGTGTCCAGCCCTCGGCACAAGCAGGAAAACCACAAAACCAGCCCCTGCGTTTGAGATCATCCCATAGAAGAGAAAACAGGGAGCAATAAAGTGTTGGCTGAACCCAATAAAGTGACTCAGGCAGGCCCGCTCCTCCCGCCCCCTGGTGGTGCCACACTGCCCTGTCCCACCTCTACCCACAAGGCACAGACCAGGGTGCCCTCCCCAGAGCCAGACCTGCCTGGGCCCCGAAGGGAGCGGCCTGTGCTGTGTGCAGCAGGCTGAGACCCAGGGGCCTAGAACTCAGTCTGCACCCCTGCACTGTCCTCAGTGGTGGTGTGGAGGGCGGGGTGGCTGCTGGGGCTGGATACCTGCTCTCCCGTCTCCTGGTCACTGGGCTTGGGGGGCCCAAAGTCCACAGCCTTTCCAGGTGAGAGATGCTGGAGGGGTGAGTCAGGTGGCGAGGAGGCCTCGGGGGCGGCCTCGGGCTGGGGACTCTCCCTGGCAGGGGCCCCGTTGGGCAGGGGGCTGGCCAGCGGGGGACTCTCAGCCCGCAGACCTTGAGCCAGCAGGCCTCGGATCTCGGTGACACTGTCCGGGGACGCAGGTGATGGTGACTCAGGGCCAGCCTCGAAGGGCATCCCTGCCTCCTCATCCTGGACCACAGAGACCACCTGCTTGGCGCGCCGTCGCTTTTCCAAGAGGGTGGCTGCCTCCGGGGGGCTGGGGCTGGGGCTGCCGCCCCCACCGCTGTTGCTGTACTCCTCACTCCAGTCGATGGGGGCGCCCTCGGCCAGCAGGTGCAGGTTGGGGTCGCTGTTGTGCATGACCATGCTGTCCCGGTACAGGTTGTGCTTCCTCTGCACCGCGGCCTCCTTCACAGCTGCAGGGCCACAGTGGGAGAGTCAGGACACAGCACCGATCCCACAGCAGCCCCGTGCTGGACTCTGCTCAAAGGAGACCCCGCCCTGGGTGTCTGTGGATATGACTCATTCCAGGCCTCATTGCTGAAAGCAGCAAGGCTGTGATGCTAACTCTAGGCCCAGCCTGGTGACCACGTGTCATCTAATCACTCATCTGACCCTCCCAGCAAAGACAAGGACTGGAGAGGAAACTAAGGCACAGAGATGCAAGGCTAAGGCCACTCCTGGGGCCACACAGTGAACAGTGGGCTTCACCCAGCCCCCAGGTGCAAGTCTGGGCTTTTCTTTGTACCTTAGCTGACCCCCTCACCTGCCACCACCTCTCAGCTACCCCCCAGCATCCTCCCGGCCACCATCCCGCCCTGGACGGCACCCACCTTGCAGGATGTCCTTCATGACAGTCTGCAGCACCACCTCCTCATATGTGTTCTCCACCAGGATGAACCTGGCAAAGTCCTCGAAGATCAGCTCCTGGAACCGGGGCAGCTCCTGCCCGGGTGGGGTGGCAGAGATAAGAGGTCAGGGCCCGGGGTGAAAGGAGGTCTGTATGCTCCACCCCCCGCCTGGGGCCCACACGGCCGGAGCTGGTGGGGGCCGCTCACCGACTTGCAGGTGGGGGCCAGCTTCCGGAGCAGGAACGGGATGCTGATCTGCAGCAGCGCCTCCCGGAAGAACCTCTTCCGCACGGAGCTGCTGTCGTAGTCGTATTTCTGCAGGGAACAAGGGGGTCAGGGGCCTGCCAGTCATGGGCTCCACTGGCCCTGAGGTTAGGATGAGGCCAGTGGTCTGACCCAAGCCTCCAAGTCCTCATACACATGAGAGGACCATGAGGCGGCCTTGCAGGGATAGCAGTCCTGGTGGTGGCTGGGGATGGGGCTCAGGGCTCGGCCTCGCCTAGGACGGTCCAGGGCAGGGCATGGGGCCGCTCACCTTCAGCACCCGCTCCAGGACCCGCTGGATGGACTTGCACAGCTCCTCCTTGGTGGGCCCCTTCCCCAGCTCCTGGTGCAGGAGGGTCTCGAAGGTATACACAGCATTGTCCATTTGCTGCGGGGCACACCACGGACACATGAAGCCCCCAAGGAGACCACAGCCCCTTCGTGGATGCCACTCAGGGGTCCTCACCCTCAGCCAGCCTCCCACCCCGAGGCCTGCCAGGGCAGCATGGTGACCGGTCTGTGCCCCCTCACTCATTCGCCCACTCACAGCACTGCACACTGGGGCCAGTCCCTGCCTTAAGGCCACAGGAAACGTGGGAAGGGGCTAGGGGGAGCAAGGAGAGCTTCCTGGAGGAAGGGGTCTCTAAGCTGAGACCTGGGAAATGAGTCAGAATTAGCCAGGTGGGCAGAGGCACAGATGTTCTGAGCAGAGGAGGAGAGTGCGTGCCTGGCAAGCGTGGCTACGGCATGGCAGGGATGGAGCAGAGGGGACCCTCCCCCCCCCCCAGTGAGGGGGCCTGTGGAAGGCAGTGGGTAGAGTGTGGGTGGGGGTGGCAGTCTCGGGTCTACCTCCCGCATGTGGATCTGGGCTCGCTGCTTGAACACCGACGTGCTGGACACATCGAACCGCTGCTGCAGCCCGTCCAGCCGCAGCGACTCCATCTTCTCGTAGCAGCTGTGCATCTTCAGGGGGTGGAAAGCCAGCCGGGACAGCTTCTCCATGTACTGCAGGGGTGGGACGTGGGGACTGAGTGGGGCCACCCCATGGCCAGGCGGCCCCCACACACACACTTTACCAGGCCCAGGGGCTGGCGCCTGCTGCCAGGGATGACCACCTGGTGCTGGTGGCCCCAAAGGTAAACCCAGGAGAGCCCAGGGCAGAAGGATGTGGCTCTGAGGGCACGGGGGTGTGGTCCAGAGGCACAGCATTGTGGAGAGGCAGCCTGGGTGCTGGGAGAAGCGCCTCATCCCTCCTGGGCTGCTGGGTGATCTTAGCCAAGCCATTTACCCTCTCTGAGCCTCGGTTTCCTCAGCTTCAGAATTGGGAGTTAGCTTTCATGCTCTCCAAGGGCTTCTCTAGGTCTCAGATTCTGTGATTATTATGGTCTGTGGACCCCCCATTTCAGAATATAGAGGAGGAAACTAAGATACAGGATAAATGTAATCTGGCAACTACGTGGGCTCCGGGCTGCCACCCCAAGAAGGGGACTGTGGAAGGACGTCCACCCCGAGAACCAGGTAACTGAGGTCAATGGCGGGCGATGGCTGTCTCCCTTTGGAGGCGTGTGCCCTGTGAATTCTGCCTCGTCCATCTCATCGCTCCGCCTGAAGCCCTTCCACCCCTCTCCCCTTCTCTCCTTCCCTCCTCCTTTCCCTTCTCTTTTTTGTTGAATTCTTTTCTATTTTCTCACCACTCTCGGTTTATAAAGGCTGATGGCAGGGAGTTAGTGTTTCCTCTTTCCTCTAACTGCAGGCCCCACGGCCTCGGCCCCTAGTCCCCAGCAGCCCCTCCCTGTCTACAGGGACAGCCTGGAGGGGACCGGCTGCCCTGAGTCACACAGTCAGGGCCCTCAGTGACAGACCAGACCCACACTCAGGAGACCCCCTCCCGGGGCAGTGCCAGCCTCACCTCGCCCAGCTTGTCAATGCCACCCTCGTTGATGACGTTCAGGTTCATGTCCGTGACCTCCTTGAAGAAGACGTCCCGTACTTCAGTGAATCCCTGGCTGGTGGGCACCATCAGGGCCTCCAAGATGGACGGGATGTAGGGCTGGACGTGGTTCCGGACGCACACCTCTGCCTTGGGGAGGATGAAGGCTGTGCCCCGAGGGAGCCAGGTCAGCAGGGGGGCCCTGAGGAACAGCTCCCCGCTCTCCTGGAACCCAGATGCTGAGGCTACTGTTTTACGATTATTATTGTTATATTCTTACTATTATTATTTTATTTGAGACAGGGTCTTAATCCAATGGGAGATTGCCCAGGCTGGAGTGCATAGCTCCCTGCAGCCT